CGACTGCTGCAGCTGATGCTGATGTTGTCTAGTAAGAATCGCTGGCGGCCAGCTTCAGATCAGCAGCTTCATTATTGTTGTTATCGGCTGTGATGTCAGCGATTTTCATATTCACAGCTCCCAATTGGTGTCAGCTGTGCCAGACCCATATATTCAGTCGAAGACGGCTCTTTAATCGCAATGTTAACATGCTCATGCATATTGTACGGCATTGTATTTTTATATACTCTGATTCCTTTCCAGATTTAAAAGGAGGCTATATGGGTTTTGTGCAAAGGTATGTAACGGGCAAAACGAGGTGTAGCTTATCGCTTAAATTACATATGTTCTTTATCCATATTCCTAAGTTTGTTCGCTTGATATAATGGTTCCTCTGTAGAAAGTTAGTTGAATTTCCTTAACTGATTCAAATCTATTTAAAGTTTCAGGTATTTTGACATATTACGCATAAAATTTTCAACAATTTTCAGTTCCTTCAGTTCCCTAAATAGAAACTTTATGCAATGAAAATTTAATCAACTTCTGAAGAAAAAACATGGAAAACTTTAAGCAAGGCATTTATAATAAGGTTTTAGGAAAACTTCTTACCTTTATTTGTTGTGTGCATATACCTAACTATATATACGATGGTTATATGGCTATATAGACGATGGTTTCAACCACATCACTCTTGCCATTGTTCAGCTGTTGGCTGTAGCTCACGTGGTACCAAAAGTTTTTTATATTCCCATCAATTCCAAATAACTTACATACGATATCATAAGGAGAGTGTTGACAGGTTGTTAAGCTCGTTGCCATAGGTTGATAACATGTTTGCTTTATTATCGGAACATTAACGCGCTTCACGCAGTTTGCAGTGGAGTGCTCGAAACACCTGCACTAATATTTGCCCTAAGTCTCACCAGCACTCCGTGCACAATTAGAAAAGACCCGCAGATACCCCGTCTATATAGATATATATTGCCTATTTCATTCTCTTTTTTATATATGCACGAGTATGTACATAATAACTTAAGCACATTTGAATAGTCCATCTTGTTCGTAGCTTAAATGGCACTAATTGTTGATTTTGACCACTGATTGAACTTACTTGAACAAAGAATGTGACTGTTATTTCTCTTTACATAAGACGTGCTCAGTGTTTGCCTTTCACGTCTTTGAAAGGGCATAGCTCGTGATCATTTGAGTATTTCCAAGAATTTTGCAACTGATTTCAACAGTTGTTTTATAAATGCTGTAGGGTATTTTTTAGCTCTTACTTCAATTTGTTCCACCGATATGATCTTTTTGCTTGCCTCATCAAATTAAAAACTTAACGTAAAATAGCAATAGTTCAGAAAGTGCAAATTGATGTCAATTTTTATAGATATCATCTAGAGTACTACAGAAACTTACATGTGCGTAATTTCCAAGCAAAGATTTTGATAGCAAAGCGCAGTCACAGTGACATGTCGAAGTGCCCTTTCAAGTTGACTTATGTAGGTCTGGAATTAGGTCTGGGTCAAGGCGCTCTAATAACCCATAATAGGCCATAAGGCATTGGAAATTATTCCCCTAGAGAAACAAATAAATAATGAGCAAAGCAAAGACTTTGCTTTCTAGCTCCTTCCTGTGCTAGACCCTGGCTTTGTTGTGGTAATCACATATAAGTTTCGCTTTCCGACTGCGGGACATTCCGTTGGTTGACCGAAAGAAACAACAAACAGAAATCAACTGTTAAGAGACTGTGTTATTAATTATTAATCGAGCGTTTCGAGAGGCCCAACAATTGTCTCCATATGTGAATGCCTCTGCCCCTGTGTCTAGCTCTGCCACATTGCGTGCAGCGGTCTAATTACTTGGCAAAGTTGTCTTTTCCTTTGTCGAACGCGCTCAACTTAAGGGGCGGTATATGGATATGACTACGTTAGGGGTCTAACGGCAGTTTGTGCTCCAGCGAATCGAATCAAATCGAACCGCCCAACGCCTGTCGCTGAGCAATGGGCAAGTGCTTTAATGGCATTTACATGATTGATACCTGTACGGTCGCTTTTAGCCAAGCTAATAACGGGGAAACGGTGTAAAATTAAATGCGTGAGTTTAAATATGGGTAAATTTTTAAAATCGATTACAATTACCTTGCGTGCTCCGGTTATCTTACTTTTAATTGTACTCTATCCAAGTGAAATGTTCTGTCACTTGCTTTTGATGCGTGTTCAACTAATGCAGAACACAAATCATGGGTAGGGCTCATTTTAATACATTTACAATTCTCAACAAGTTTAACCGTGAGAAAAACTTATTGTAGGATATGAGGAGAAAAAAGAAGGAGAGAGTGAGAGAAAAATATAAATAAATGGGAGTAACTTAGATAAAGGGAGAATGCAAATAAGGGGAATGAGAAATGGGAAAAGAGAGAGGGAAGAAGGAGAGAGAAAAAGAGAAATATGGAGGGAGAGAAATTAAACAACATGGAGCAAAAGAAAGAGAGATAAAGGACAGTTAAGAGAGAGAGAGAGAGGAAGAAGAGGAGAAAATAAAGATAAATAATAAAAGAAACAGAGACAAAAAAACAGAGAGTAAGAGAGATATAAATAAAGTGAAATTTAAGGGAAGAGAGAGAGAAAGAGAAGGACAGATTAAGGCAGAGAAAACAATATGATGAGAAAAATGAGGATAAAAATAGAGAAAGATGAAGACAGAAGACAAGGAAATATATAAAAAGAGAAAGAGAGAGCAAAAACTGATTATTTGAGAGAAAGGCAGAAGCACAGAGAAAAGGGGAGTTGAAGAAAGAGATGACGAAAAGTGATAGGCTGAGATCGAGAGAAATGCAATATAAGAGAAAGAGATATTATGAAGGAGTTTATGAATAAACAACATCCAATTTACCATCTACTGATTAATCACAATTTATATGCCCAGACAAATACCAACTTTCTAACCAACTATAATGCATATATGATAAATGCTAAATCTTTCACACGTGTTATTCAGATATTTATAAATATATATGAGTCAGATTCTTTCAGCACTTTATCAGAAGATAATAAAGTGAAGCTATTCAAGTCATATAAAATATTATCATTTAGCACTCATATGTCGAATTCATATGTCGATGGGGTAAATAAGTCTTAGCACATAAGTCTTTGAGTTGTAAGCAAGCTACTTCTGTATGTCTTGTTATTATTTCTTTATTTATTATTATTATTTTTATTATTTTGTTTGAGCACAATTTCAACTATAGGCCGGATATGTGATTAATGTATATCCAAAGATTAGATTTCTTGGAGTTTTTTGAAACGTAGACAGTAAATAATTTCGATTATTATTGGGGGCGATTATATTTTATCTATTACTAGAAACCTTGAACTGTTTTCGCTGAACTATTTAATTGCGGCTGTGTAAATATGTAATTGATTGCTGAATAGATTAGCCCAATTAGAGCTTAGCTGACTGACTACTGCCCATAGACATAAGCATTATTAATGTTTTATTTAACTATGAACTAAGTAAGTATCCACCTCATGCCTCATTTCTACTGCTTATAACATCTACTGAGACCTGGTCGGCTTCATACGGTATTTGCCCTACGTCGGTCCTATTAAATGATTTAATATTTTTCCCGGCGTGCGCCGTGGTCGAAATTCGGGACAGCTTTTGGAGTAAATATGTACAAGACCTAGTCTAGCCACAGAGTTGAGCCTAGTGGAATGTAAGTAAGAGCCAATCGCCCCCAAGGGTTGCAGCCAGAACATACCTATGGTCTGCTCCTTCTTAATGTACGAGTATTTTTATTGACCCGTGGGCTATGAGGCATGCGCGTGTGCTTAGTCGTGACCACGTCAAATGAACTTTAAGTAAACTGCCTGCGTGCATACACAAGACGTCCACACAGCTCGTCACAACATCAATAACAATAACAACTCCAGCCCGCCCACATGACCCACTTTGGACAACATATATGTACACAGATTTTCACCATGTACATGCCCATTTTTATGTTATGTTGGCTCTGCAGCTTATCCATCATTCAATCTGCCTTTCCTTACGGGAATTAGGTACCCAAAGATTGACAAAAGTAAATCTTAGCTTATGACTGAATTCCTATAAGTTTGATTATATGTTTTATGTGCTATAATTAAGTGATAAAAGCAGTCCCAAGTGTTTGTTTTCATATTCTTACAAGCACACTTTATGCTCAATTATAGGCCAATATTACCTAGAGATTGTAATAAATTACAATAAGAGTGTGAATATCCCATTCTAAGACATCTGCTATCCTGCCCAATGCTGCTATGGCAACCATTCGAGATTTCTTATTTATATATATATTTATATATTTATATATATATTTATATATTTATATATATATATTTATATATTTATATATACATTTATATATATATTTATATATATATTCATAATTAGTGTATTTATGGCCTTCGAGTTATGCTTGGAAAGCCAAATTGATTTTCTTTGATGATAAATGAGAAAAGTTAAAAGTTAAATTAAAAAAAAGTAAAGGTTAAATATTACAAAACCATTTTTTTTTTGAATTAACAATGTATTTTTTTCTTTCAATTTTTTTTATATAAGTGTTCAATATTCATCTATAATCTCAGTTGAGCGAGTTATATTTAAAATTAGAAAATCGTAATAAATATAATTTTCGATAATTAATAAGGTAGAGTGACAAAAAAGCAATGAGTAAGAGAAAAATACAAGAAATTGAGTGAGTCTATGCTGTACATATAGAGTATATATATTCTATTGATAAGCATATGTATATATAAATCATTTCAAATCTACATAAATGCGGAATATATATAGAATAAGGCGGAATGCTCAGCGCGTGGTTTAAGGTATATTCAAGTCAGTCAATGTATATATATATATATATATATATTTTTTTTTTTTTTTGAACACATTCAGTTACACGAAGAGTATATTGGTTTAGAGCAAATATCCGGTTTGCTGTCGTAAGTCTGTTTGACACGATAAGTATTGAAAATATTATTTAAAACAACTTTTTGTTCACTCTAAGCAACTTACCAAAATTTTAATTTGCCTGGAACAAGTTAATTTATTGGCCTGATCATCATTTGTACAAATTTCAATGAAGTTGTGTGCCATTTCTTCCAAGTAATGCCAACACTTTGCGATTGTTCCGCGGTTCGGTATATTCCATTGAGATGACTATAAATTGGTCATAATCGAAGTAGTTATACAGATTAATTGGATACTTTCTTTGCTTACCTGTGATGGCAGGTTTTGTACCACCAACCAGACCTATACCAATTTGCGCAATTCCTAGCAGGATCAATATCGTGATCTTCATCTGGCGTTGAGAATTCCATATTGAGATAATATATCATTGCATTGCCTGCATTTCCAGAGTATTCGCCCAGTGCTTTCAGCTTGAAGTTTTCCTCGACTCCGCCGATTCTGAAGCTACTATATAGAGCATATCGAACTTCGTTTCGAAAATTCTTTAGGTATATATACAACTCGTGTTGCTTGGAACTCGTCAGCATGTAAAGCTTATCGAGACCGATGAAAAATTCGTTGTTCAAATTTCCAAAGCCCGTTCGATAAGTTTGCATATTCCTGTTGAAGTTCTCGGAGCCATCTTGGCGACGCTGTATAACTAACCAGCCGGAGCCAGCCAGAGTCGAATCACAGGACACCTGAAAAGGGTTCGAGCCAGAAACTTGTATTTCTAATATCTCTGTCTGTTTTCCTTTGCAGCTTGAAGGGAAGGTCATTTTGGTTTCCACTGGCTTTTCAAGCTCTTTAGGCTTAGGCGTAGTAGAAACTTCTTGGGATTTCATTTTCTGCATTTCAGAAACTATGTTTTTCAATTCCGTGTTAAGTCGATCTTCTATTTTTTGGACCTTTGCCATCAGAGTCTGGTTAGTGGCGAGCATTTGCTCTTTAGTCAAGCAATTTTTTTGATTAGACTGGCTTAATGCAAGTTGACGCTCCAAAGATTCAATAATTGCTTCGAGTCGCATAATCTGAGTCGTTAATTCGTTGAACTGGCTCTCTTTCGACCGAATCGAGGCAGCATATTCCAGCAGAGGCTTGACTATTTTATAGCAATGTCCTCCGCATTCCGTGTCCTTGATCTTTGAGAGGGCGCATTCCTGAATAATATCAGCTATAATCATTATTATTATAGCTAACACAGACTTAATTGGCACACTTACAGTATTCTCACCTATTACACCTGACAGTGAGATCAATGAAATTAGCAATAGCTTTCGGAATAAATACATTTCGAAATGTCAATGTAATTTGCCAACCACTCGCACTCGCTGAAAATAATTTTATACTGAATTGTGTTGATGCGCGTACTGAATCATGCTAGTGCTTGTGAAATTATTGTTGTTTCTTATCTATACATGATGAAAGTCCGGTTTACGAGAGATTAAAAACGCGTCAAGTAATTCAATTCCATTATCAGTAAAATAATTTTTCATTTTGCAAATACCCAACGCTCTGGGACTTATTAATTTCAGCTTTGGCTCAATCACACATCGAGATGCAATTCAATGCACTCCTTAGTAGACTTCACACAGTGCGAAGAACATATATATTTATATATATATTCATGTTAAGCCCAATCAAATAATGAAATATTGTGTTCTATTCATGTGCGTGAAATATATACATTTTACTGATGTTTTTGTATTTTAATTTCAATTGAATTTATCATAAGTTTCTTTCTGATATTCCTGGTGCGATCTTAGAACGAAGTTTTATTTTTATTTTTACTCTTACTTTTCAAGTACTGCTGCCCTGTGTATTTAACAAAAATCACAAAACAGGTTTCAACAAATGAAATAAATAAACCAACGAACCAATTAGCACTAAAAATGCTACGAGATTTTCCAATTGGTTTTCGGTCAACTGGAACTATTTAAATTGGCAGCTGTTTGCTTTGTCAATTTACTGAAGGAAGCAAAACAGATGGAAATAAATATTAGTACTTTGCAGACATTTCAAATCATAATTATAAAATAACAATAGAAAGGTCAGTGGGTCAAATCACTTTCGAACGGTTTTCGTTACTTTCAACTTAAATCTTAACTTTATCATTTGGCAAACAAGCAAATGCAACAAGATTACGAAATATAGAAAATTTTAAGTCCTTATACTTAAAAGAAATTTTAAAAAACTGAAATTTTGCCCAAAAATAGACGAAAATCAGAGGGAAGATGAGCAAATATTTGGAAATGGAGACTAAGAAAGGAGAAGAGAAAAGGAAATAAAGAAAAGAATAGAAACTGGGAAAAAGAGATGAAACGAAAAAAAGAAGAGAAGAGGAAGAGAAAAGTAGCGGCAGAGAAGAAGAGAGGGAAGCTACGAAGAAAAACTAAGAGAAGAGCAAAGAACAGGAAGGGAAGAGTAGAGCAGACGAGATGAGGAGAGAAGAAGAGAGTTAGGGAAGAGATAGGAAAAAAACAGCAGTCGAAAGGAAAATTCAAACCAAAAAGAAAAGATCAGAAAAGTGGAAAAAAAGAAGAGAAAAAAATATGGAAAGTAGAAAAAAAGCAGAAAACGAGAAGATCTAAGACTGAATTTCTTTTATTTAAAACTGTGCTGAAAATAAATAATAAAACTACATATAAAAATAGTTATGTCAATAAATGACGAATTTTTGGAGCTGTTTTTTTTTAAATCTGGATTTTTACTCCCTTAGCCACAAAGTAGATGGTAAATGTTAATAATATTAAGAGGCAAATCACGATCAATAAGGTAGCTCAGTGTCATAATATAAATAAATTAGGAAAGTGAATAACTTTATTGGCAATACATACAACAGATACTAGATCTAGCTGCGCATATGAGCAGTTGATAACACCTAAACACAGTATAAAGCTCACACAATCTAGCAAATATTAGAGTCAATTGAGTTCCATATACTCTGATGGGACTGGAATATGGGTTGGCAGACGAAGCATTGCGTGCCATTTGCTTTAAGCAAATAATTCAGCAATTGGCGGTGCTCATCGACATGGTAAACAAGCATTAATTTTTGATTTCGCTAAAAACGCCCAATAAATCGAGGTAGCTCTCAAGGGGGGCGGCAGCCGAACTTCTCCCTCAGGGCTCATTAAAGATTCAGCATTTACCCACTTTGGCGCCGTTGGCAATAATCGAGCGTCGCCTCCAGGCCAATTAGATGACATGCAATATGCACAGAAACTTTGCTTGATAGAGACTGTCGCTCTGGGATATGTTTCTGCTTCGTTCTCGCAACTTTTTAATCGATTTGACACCTGTAAAGCGTTTGTCACGTTCTTTAATTGCGCCACTCAGACTCAGACAATTGTCTTATTTAAAGGCCTCGCATACCTGGTACCTAAGCGAGTAACCCAAATGCAAAGTGAAAGTAAAACACTCAGCCGAATTGCGAAAATGGAAGTTTGAGTCATTGGCATAGATTTAAGCTGAGCTGAAGCGAAAGTTATTCTTAGCTAAATGAATGCTTGCTACCTGCCACACCCAGCTCTCAAGAGCCAGATGCTAGAGGTTATCAAACTTATATACAACTTTATAAAAACTAATTTCCGTTTGTGCTCGTCATATATTTATAATTAATAATTTATTGATTTTTGTCTTATCTACAACTCGCCATTCTTTCAATTTCCATATGAGGCAACGTTGCCTGCTGCCAAATAAGTACTTAAATATTTTAAATAAAAGTTTCTTTGGCTCAAAAATTTCTTGGTTCGGCTTAAATGTTTTTGACAGTATTTTAAAATATTCAAAATTATAAAAAGAACTGGATTTACATCCAGTTTATAGCTTGATATACTTAAAGTATCTTATTGGTTCTAGAAAGTCTTCCCTGTAAGCTGCCCTATTTTATTCAAAATGATTTTACCTGTGCTTATACCTATACGCTCACACTTTTGTAAGTGATTCAAAGAGTCTGTCAGCAGCAGTATTATTACTATTCAAAGAAACCTTTCAATATTCTTTTAAAATGTTGCTTATTTCTTGCGATTCGCCACGTTCTTAGAGCCCACAGACATGCATTCTCAGGCAGACGTAGATAAGCATTATCATCGACTCTGGCAAGCTCGCACTGCCACGCTCTTGCATTCTTTAGAACCTAAACTGATTTTACTTTAGGTTTGTCAATAGCTGGACTAAATAGAAATTTTCAATTCATGACGAGTGAAGATATTATTATTATTATTTTGCAATCGCTTAACTGTCAATCAATCAGCACTAAATTAATAAATAAAATTATCAAGCGACATTGTGAAGTGGGCGCGTTTCGCTAAATAAAGACGGTGCAATCCAATATCTTATCGGGTAGGTCCAAGATAATGTATAGCAATCCAGCTGGCAAAAAGATAATGCAAACATAACCTAGTTTGTGTAACGGAAGAGCGTCGCCTTCAGCTACTGCCAATTAGAGAATTGAAGTTAGAAGTCATCCAACTAAACAACACTCACAACGCGACCTACAGACCCAACGCACCAACGAGCCCCACTAAGACAACAAACTGAAATTTGCAGGGTCTGGTAATTATATTTGTATAGGCAGCAAAAGAAGGCAGAGCTGGCGCTGGTTAACGTTATTATTATTATTGTTATTGTTGATGTGGCCGAGTGCCAGGTAAATTGCTTTAGAATGCGCAATCTCGCTAATGACCCAATTAAAATGATGGTAAAGGCTTTCACCGGTTCGTGGCGTTGACGTGGACGTTGATCAAAATTTCAGGCAGGCTATGTTAGCACATTAATCTGAAATCAAGCTGTGCAAGGACATGACAGACACGAACAATGCCAGGGTCTGTCCAGAATTGAACCGGGAAACCCTTGACACGCAAAGCCCACGGCGTCCACATGAACAAAAAAACGCTATAAAAACAACATTTTTCAGTCCCAATCACAATTTGCAAAGTGAACTTGGGCGGAAAGTGAATTGACCCGACACGGTGTGGCTTCTTTCATAAATAGCTAAGTAGATACAATGACCGCATGACGCCATCCATGGGTACAAAAATCGAAAGCTTTTGGCATGACTCAAGGTCGACAGGTAGCAGCGGCGATCCTCACTCCTTGTTAGATAACCCGAGTGTTTTGCTAACCTATACCAACTCCCTAGTCTTAATGGGGTTTACCTTGATATTGCATACACAAACTCAAGGCGGGCTTGTGGACAGTTCCATTAACCTGTCTCGTTGCCCAACCCATTCTCGTTGCCCAGTTTGTGGCATGCAAATTGTCTTGTTCACAGTTCACAATTGACAGCTTAATTGAAAACTCATCGAGATAATGGACACAAAATGCTCGTCAATCCAATTCAAATAACCAAAGCTTTCATTTGACATTTCCGCAATTTCTGAGAATGTAAACCTTAATCTTATGATGTTGGAATATGCGGAAATTCTGACTAAATTAGCTTACTTGTAATAAAGAAAACATTACGAAGTTATAGATCATTTTATAACTTCCATAATATATTTCTTCATTATTATTTAATTAAGCATTTGCTTCAGCTTTATCTTCTGTAAATATTATAAACAATATTTGATATCTAATATAATATGTTTTATTGCAGTGAGACGGAGCGTTACAAGAAAACTAAGTGGCAAGATTTGCGGGTCGGAGATATCGTTCATCTGTCCAACAATGAGACAGTGCCTGCAGATATTTTGCTACTACGTACCAGCGATCCGCAAGGCGTCTGCTACATTGACACATGCGACTTGGATGGGGAAACGAATCTGAAGCGCCGTGAGGTATGTACATCAAAGGGCGCATATCTGTGTCAGTCTTTGGGGTTACGTGAGTGGTATGAATTTGCACTCATTTTTCGTTTTGTTTTTTTTTTTTTTTTGTTATTTGCAGGTTGTACGTGGCTTTACGGAAAGGCAGAACATGTTTGTGCCCAGCAAGTTTATAAGCTGCGTAGAGGCGGATGCGCCGACAACAAAGCTGTATAGATTCCATGGGGCATTAATACATCCAACTGGGGAACGCGTACCCATATCTACCGAGTGCCTTTTGTTAAGAGAGAGCAGACTGAAGGTCCGTTGCACATGCCAACATACATTCATCTCGCTAACTCTAATCAAACTTTTACTTTTCAGAATACGGACTACATTGAGGGCATTGTCGTCTATGCCGGACATGAAACAAAGTCCATGCTAAACAATAGTGGGCCAAGGTACAAGCGCTCCCAGGTGGAACAGCAAATGAATATTGATGTGATATGGTGAGCAATATTACTTGAATTATTATTGTTTACAAACAGAACTGAATAGCTAGACTAAAAACAAATATAAAATAATTTATCACTATAATATTTAATATATATAAAGATATATTATAAATGACTTTTTATTGGGATTAACGAAATTGAAACAGGTTTGCCAAATCAATCGAAAATCAAGTTTGAATTAAATAATTTGACTACTGAGAAACTTGTTAAAAGAAAGTGAGATTTTTAATGAAAGCTTTTTAAACTGCTAGGAAAACTCTAGTTGAAGGTGCCCGACTAGTAGATACCCTGAACTCAGTCTTATCAGCATTATTTTAGAATATTTTCTATAGCTTGTATCGAGCATTAAAAAAATAATAGATGGCATTGCCACTCCAAGACTCGAACACCCTCACATCATATTTAAAAAATCATACAAAAATAAAAACCCTGACGCCGCCTGGCATTGAACACAGAACTTCTCGGCAAAGAGCGCCGCCTCCTACAACACTGCGACTGCGTTACTTGTGCAAGAAGTTTCAAATCTCAATTAAAGAAGCAGCTGACAAATCAAACACAATTTAATCGTAATTGCGATACGATTTTGTAGGCGCATTGCGCTGCTTGCCACGTACTTGTGGCAATGTTTGGTTTAATACATTTTCAATGGAATTTTCTGCGAATGTTCCACATATCAGCTGAGTAAAAATGCAAACAGATGCACCTAAATTCAAAGCATTTGGGGAAATTTGGAGCCGCTATCCAAAATATAACAATAATAAAAATTTTATAAAATATACATAAAAATAAATACAACATTTTGAGGCTCTAGCTTAATGTGCTTAATCGATAACAATAAAACGGAAACAGATATCGATTATTTAAAATAAACTTGACCTGCGAGTCCTATACACGGACTCACTGAAGTCTCTAGCTCGTATAGATGCTGAGATCAACACATTGATAAATACGGACAAACAGGCGGAGAGGGTGAAATCGACTCTGCTTGTCGCCCTGATCAATGAGTTAAGGGTATAAATTTAATTTTAAATTTGATTAATTGAAAGTGATGTATAAAATAAAATATATATTAGTCAATCAATCAATAAATCAGATGAATCTAAACATAGAGACCTCTAATAAATATTTTGCCTTTAAGTTAAAGCCCGACATTTGATAAGATAAGAGATTATACAAAAGAAAGATTAAATTGTTTTCAAATTCGCTCATTGCTCAGTCAAAACCTAACAAATATTGTTCACCAATAAATTGTAAGATAATTGTTTTTTTTTTAATCATTTATCTAAATTTTAATTAAGATACCTGCCACCACAAAAGATAGACTCAAACATAAATTAAGCGTTTCTGTGCTAAATTTATCGAGTTATTAATTTTCATTCTATATTCGGAAGTTCACTTAAAACTTTTAGTCTAAAGCTTTCCTGATGGATTGATTTAATCAGCAAGTCAAGCCCATTGTGACCCATGAAGAATTCTGAATTCTGAGCTTAAGAATCCCAAGTCCCATCGTTTGTCTTTCAAACTAGGATCAACGTTATTGGCAGCGCTGTATCTGTATATTTTATCTTGAAATTTTTGATAGAATAATCAATCTTCATAATAGACGAGAGCTAACAGTGCCTCATTGTACAAGCTAAAGTGAATTGCCTAATTCAAGCTGATCTTCAGAGGTGTTGCTAGTAGCTTGAGGCTTCATATTAAAGCACAAATTTGACTAAGCCATAACAATCATTATCCATCTTGTTTGGCAGTGGACTTTTCTAAAGCTGATCACACATAATTCTTTAAGAGTGCTCATGTATAGCAATCGGAATACAAAAATTTCAAATACAAAAACTGAAGGTTATTAAACGCACTTATGAAATTGCAAACTGAATTTTATTGTAATGCGCACTAAATACTCTAAATTATCTAGAACTGTGCAGTTGTTATCAGGTTAAGGAACTTAGCAAGCTGTGCACTTGTACATATGTTCATTTTATTATCATGCTAATAATATATGAATCATGTCGTTATATTATCGGCAGTTCATAAATCATGTGAATAACACAATTAAAACAAACTCGAACAGAAAGAGTTAAGTATAATGTGATATTGAGAATGTAAGTTCCAGACAGAAGGGTAATTACTTATATATTTTCCTAATCAGAAAGAAAAGCTTGAGACATATAAAGATCAGCCAAATGCAAAGTTGATTTGAAAAGTTCTGTCGGATGTAGCAGTTCGATTGATCTTTTAATAAAAAAGTAATATTTGATACGATTTGTATTTGCAGGTGTGTGATAATATTGTTGATCCTTTGCGTTGTTGGCGCCATCGGCTGCACAATGTGGCTGCGTTCGTTTGAAAATTTCCCCGTGCCCTATTTGCCGTTTGCCGTGGACGCTGCCTATGAGGGCATGCTGACCTTCTGGACGTACATTATCATACTGCAAGTAATGATACCGCTTTCCCTGTACGTGACGATTGAGCTATGCAAAATACTGCAAGTGTATCACATACACAACAACCTCGAGCTGTACGACGCAGACACCAACAAGCAGACGGAATGCCGAGCCATGAACATAACTGAGGAACTGGGCCAGATACAGCACATCTTTTCGGATAAGACGGGCACACTGACCGAGAACAAGATGATCTTTCGTCGCTGTGTGGTGAACGGCGCCGACTATAACCATCCGCCGTCTGAGCTGGAGAAACTGTACGCCAAGCCAGGTGCCCCAGCTCCTCCGCTGATACCCAATGAGACGCTGCAGGACGATTTGCAGAGATTGGCTGGCGTAGGCGGGGGCGCCTATCTAACGCCCCATGCACAATGTATACAGGAGTTCCTTATCGTACTTGCTATTTGTAATACGGTTATCGTGAGTGCGGCGCCACATCGAGATCTCATGAATGCCAGCGGCATCATTGAGATGCATCAAGCCAATAACAGTCCAGCCACAGGCCCCACGCCGTCCACTTTGAAGCACCTGAGGCCGCGAGCAAAGTTGGTGACTACGACAACAACGTCGACCACTATCATAAATGGCGTGCCGCCGGCCGGAACAATGGCTCTGCCAACGGATCGTTATACACGGCTGGCCGAGTCGCGTTCCGTGACTCCGTCGCCGCCTCCCAATCTATTGTTTGCCATGCCCGCACAGGCTCATCAACCCACTCTCTCGCCGATTAGCAGCTCGCCGGAGTCCACGCCCAATTCAGAGTCTCCATCGCCGCCACTGAAAAGTAAGGCACTGTCCAACAGTATTTCGCCCACTGGTCGCGCCAAGGCCGTGATCAACTCCAAAATAACCAGCATAGCCACGTTTTTAAATGCCAAGACGCACGGCAAGCGCATGAAGATTGAGTGAGTGCTATCTGCCGAATATATCGTGAAGGTCGTATATATTTTTATCTTATTCCATTTTCAGCCAAACCAAGACGCAAACCATTTACAGAACTGCCGATGGACGTCCGTTGTACGAGGCGGAAAGTCCTGATGAGTTGGCGCTGGTCAATGCTGCATATAGCTACGACTGTTGTTTGCTCAACCGTAGCCCGAATCACATCCTTGTGAGCATGCCAACCGCTAGCGCTACTTTGGAGTATGAGATACTCAAGATACTGCCCTTCGATTCAAGCCGCAAATGCATGTCAATAGTTGTTAGACAAACGGGCACCCAGGAGATTGTCCTTTATACAAAGGGTGCCGACAGCTCTATCATGCCAGTCCTGGCGCCTTGCACTCCAAATAGCCCCGAAGGTAATAAAACTATGCTTTGTTATATATATTATATTACTTTTACGATTCTGTTTGTAGCCTTACTCCGTGAACAGACGCAGCAGCAGCTGGATCGCTATGCTCGGGAGGGTCTTCGCATTTTAGTGATGGCGAAGCGTAGCTTAAATGCTGCCGACTATACGGACTGGTGGGCTCGACATCAGGAGATAGAAATGTCGCTGGAGAATCGTGAGAGACGTTTACGCGACTCATTCGCCAATCTGGAAAGCAACCTGACGCTGCTGGGTGCCACGGGCATTGAGGATCGCTTGCAGGACGGTGTGCCCGAGACAATAGCTTCACTGATCTCGGCGGGCATTTCCGTGTGGGTGCTTACTGGGGACAAGCCAGAGACGGCTATCAACATTGCCTACTCGGCCAAGCTCTTCACACAGCAAATGGAGCTGATCAAGTGAGTGGGAAAACTGTTTTTTGTGACTAAATTTAATTATTGTCTATTGATGTAGACTTACCGCTCGATCTCGCGATGCGGCTGAGACGGCCATCAACTTTTATTTGACTGAAATGAGGAATGCAAAGGCGGCCAACTCCACAGGATATAGCTTAGCGCCGCGCTGCAAGCCCCGCGCGTTGGTCGTGGATGGGAAGACATTGACATTTATTTTGGACCCCAAGTAAGTCCCTGCGTTCACTGAAATTAATTCCTGTTTAATCACTTCTTTCTTGCAGATCAAAATTGACTCTACCTTTTCTAAAACTGGCCAAGGGATGCGCTTCGGTGCTTTGCTGCCGTTCAACGCCATTACAAAAGGCTTATCTGGTCAAAGTAGTCAAGGAGGAGCTCAATCTGCGTACTCTAGCCATTGGAGATGGAGCCAACGATGTTTCAATGATACAAATGGCCGATGTAGGCGTCGGTATCTCTGGCCAAGAAGGAATGCAAGCAGTCATGGCATCTGATTTCACTCTCTCACGTTTTCGCTACTTGGAGCGGCTGTTACTTTCACATGGATACTGGTGCTACGATCGTCTAGCCCGCATGATACTCTACTTTTTTTATAAGAATGCGGTAGGCACAACAGACAGATTTTAGAATTGGTTCGAATTCTAGTGGATTTGTATTTGGTTTTGCAGGCTTTTGTATTCCTTATATTCTGGTATCAATTATACTGCGGCTTCTCCGGCTCTGTGATGATGGACCAAATGTATCTCATGCTCTACAACCTATTGTTCACATCCCTACCTCCTCTAGCAATTGGCGTCTATGATAACCGTGTGCCGGAGGAATTGCTATTGAAAAATCCGTATCTGTACAAAAATGTAAGCTCCACACAGCACAAAACAAAAATATTGTTTGATATTAATAATATATAACAAAAATGTTATTATTAGGGCCGCTTGGGTCTCGCATATAGGCCGCATGACTTCTGGGTGATTCTTCTTGATGCGCTCTACCAATCCCTTGTCATCTTTTTTGTCACCCTTTGCGCCTATGCGGAAAGTGAAGTGGGCATCTGGGAATTCGGTACAACTATAACGGCGAGCTGTCTGTTTGCGAATTTAGTGCACTGTTGCATTGAAATACGTTCCTGGGTAAGCCTTGCTTGAAGACATATTCACAATAGTTATTGATGCATTTTGTTTTTCTTTTTTACAGACGGTGCTGCACGTGCTATCAATTGCGATTAGTTTGGCATTATTTTATATCTTCTCCGTTGTGTACAATTCCATGTGTGTTAATTGCTTCGGACTTCCCTCCACTTACTGGGTCATCTTTAAATGCTTCGCATCTCCTGTGCACTGGCTAGTTATAATGTTGTCCACAGTTGTTGCTGTGCTCCCTCGGTAAATTAACTGTATAATTACATTCTTTGTATCGTTGCTAATGCATGCACTCTCTGTCGATTGTATTTCAGCCTTGTCTTTCGCACCGTGCGTATCTCAATGTGCCCCGACGACAGCACCAAGGTCATTCTACAGAGCAAACGCGAGCGCAGCAGAGGTGAGGGTTTGTTAGTAACATGGTCGCGCTCGACGTCAGCCTCATCAATTTATAGGTAAAAGGCACAAATGATATCGCACAGGATTGAAGCTGCAAGTTGCATTTGAATGATTTGATTATACTTTAGCAATGCATGCACCATTATTTAAATGCGTTTCATTTTTAATTTTTATTATTTTGTGTCCTTTTATTTATATATTGTAGCTTTCTTTTTGAACTTCAAGCCATTATTTCAATCCTAATTTAACAACTTGTGACATTCAATTTCTTGCAGAATCGCCGATTATGGGTCTAAGAATCAGATTATAAATACGATTACCTGATCCAGTGCCAAACGGCGAAGCTTTCAGCCGCGACATTCAAACAAACAAACCAACCGTTCAGAACCTAATAATTACAAATGTACTTTTAGTTTAAATATGTGGCCTTTCGACACCGATTAGCATAATTTGTATTTTGCAATTGAATAGACTAGCTCTAACTATATCGTTTATCATAGGTACATTTAGTAGCAATTTAAATAGAATGTAATTTAGTTATCGACTAATCCCCATTAGAGCGTAAAGAATTAGACGTTTTAGTTCGAATTTTTGCCTTACAATTCAAACAGTTATATGTATGTCTTCATATTTTAATATTTATTTGTATATAAGTAAAAAGTTTATGTATGTATTCGCCTACGCGTATTTAGTGCACTTAGCCACCTAACATAGCGCAATCCTAACACTTGCAACGGAACTCTAATTAAACACAACTGATTAACATAATACCCTATGGATTTAAAAGTATGCATACAATGCCATTGGATTAATTAGGCATCCATTACACATATGTGTGTACTATACCTATATATACATATATATATATATATGAATATATATCATATGTATAGAATAGACGAAATCTTTAAATACTGGACAATTCAAACATAACCGAACTGAAATGTTCAATGTTCGTGAAAAGGCTGTGATTCTACACTCATGAGAAATATATCTATACATAAGAGACACCAATTTACATTTTTTAGTTTCATTATGTCAAGTATTACAAAAAAAAACGAAAAGAAAGAATTTTGTTCATAGTTTGTTGCGGAAGCAACTGAATTTTCTATATTTTTTATTTACATAAAAGCTTAAGTTAATATAATCATCACATAGCTGTTCTAAACTATTTACCTTAATTATATGTATATCGTTTTGATAGAGAACACTATAACAACAATTAAAACTGCAAGAACATTGTGTGTGTTAAAAAATAAACTTTAGCGGAATATATACATTGTTGAAAAGCAAATCAAAAAGAAACCATTTAAAAAAATAAATGTATATTTACTTAAAACAGATTGTCAATTGCGATTTTTATTGCTTCATGACAGAGGATGGATGAAAAAACATATTGTTTGTAAGATATGAGGAGTATATATTTATAACTCATCAAGTAATTACCCATCATAAATTTTAGTTTGTCTTTTCTTTTGTGATTTTATTTATTTATAAATTTTTATAAATTCCTTAAATCATTATTATATTAATGTAAATATCCTTTTGAAACACTACAACTATGCGACTTGCAACACTAATAATGCAACTTGATGCTGCCCATATTAATCAGATCTTTATTCAGCCAGATTTGTATATATAATAAGCAAGTAAATTCGCAGATATCACAAATCCATTTCGTTCAAAAATAATTTTTTAATTGAAATAATTGATGCCCCATGAATACACAAAACGTTTTCTTAAAAAAATTCTAGTAAATTTATTAAATACATAACATAACGTATATTTAAAAATAACTTATTAATCTATAGATAATATCCCAGAGGATTTTGAACTAGACAAATCGTAATTACATAAATGTAATACACTAGGCAAATTAAGAGTCGGACTGCGAGTCCTTCTGATCAATGCCAAGATAAGAATTCCCGAGAAAATCCAGCTCCGCACTCTTTGCGATTATACGTCCGATGTCGTGAGGTAACAAGGCCATTTCCAGATTGGCAGCCGGAGCTGGCAGCGTCTCAATTGCGTTTGGTTGTTGTTGCTGCAGCAGTTTTGCGGCAACGGTGCGACGCACCAACTTTTCTATAAACATTCGAAGCACATGTGCCAAGAGCGTGAGAGCTAGCGACTGGGAAACACCTGGCACGCTCTGTTCTGCATGCAGGATGATGCCAACATCTTTGCACATGTCCTTCACGAGCTGTGTGGCAGCATCCAACTCCTCAGGTGGCGGTAAATACAGCAAATGTTGGTTTAATTTAATGTCGAATGAGTTCTTAGATCGCTGAATCTCAGAGCTGGCAGGGAAAAGATTGACCACATCGATTAGCTCCTCTGCCTCTAATCTTTGTTCGCGGCATTGCATTCTTGCTATCCGTTTTGATAGCCAGCTATCTACGCTGGACCTTGAGCTGAGGCTGCAGTATCCTAATAGTTGCGGCTGAGGATCCTCTTGCAGCTGTTGTTGCACGCGCTCCGATAATGGCATGGCCGCCGAGGCAGGCTTCTGTCTAGAAACACAAAGCATTTTTAAAGGCGGCGTATATCCATGTAGACGTGCAAATGCCACAATCTCCCGCGTACTCCAGAATGACTCTTTTCCGCTGCTGTGCAAATGCTGGAGGCGTATATGTTGACGCATGCAGCGTGACAAAGATCGACCACGCATAAATTCGAAGAACCGCTGACGCAAAGCGGGCTGAGCTTGGAATGCTGACAGTGTATGATTACCAAAGGGAAATTCGTTGCCATTGCCATTGCCCAAAGCGTTTGCTAATGGTAGCCGTCGAAGCAAAAACTCCACAGCACTTCGCATACTCTGAAAGGGAATACTGCCGAAGAGATGCTCGAGAGTCAGGCGCTGGCTTAGAGGTGCGGGCACTGGAGGCACTTCATTGCTGCTCATATTGGCATAGCCATGATCGTTTTGGATGCACTGCAGGAAGTGCCATCGCTTGGAGAGCTGTTGTGTTGGCTGTTTGAGCAAGCTAAGTTGCGGCTTAAGCAGCGACTGCTGCTTGGCAGCCTGCTTTAGCTTTGATTGCAGCGGATCGATGATATATAGTTTGCCTTCTTTTTGAAATACTACGTTTTTAAATTGCGATGTTGGATTTCCTTTGCGCAGTTGTGCAGCCATTGCTGTTGGCCTTTTGCCGCTTCCATTTATGGTAGGAAGAGCTGCGGGCAGACTGGAACTCATAGCAGGTATTGTGTCAATGGAATTATGGCTCAGTGGCGTTTTATTCGGGGTTTCGACTGCAGGTGTTTCTTTCTTTTTCGGGCTACTCAACTTTAAAAGCTCCGAGACAGGCACTGTCGGCTCGATAAGGTCAATATCGTCGCTTAACTCGATCTTATTGATGCATGCAAAGAGATTATCATCCAGATCTTCTTTATTCTGCGTTATTGAAATGGTGCGCGGTTTGGAATTATTATCAGGTGAAAGAGGTTCATTTCCAGCACCGACTGTTGCTGGTAGCTCCATTTTAACAGCTTTTGGCGTTGACGTTGGCGAAGGCGTAATGGGAACTATTACAGGTACATCTGCACGCAGCCAAACCTCTACAGTTGTCTCGCTTCCCATGGTGTGCAGGCCGCACATGGTCTTGTCCAGCACAATGTTGTGCATTAGCTGAACTGGTTTCTGCTGAAGGTGCTCTTGGAAATATAGCTGAATGCGCATGGGGAACTCGCCCCAGCCACGACGTGTCAGCTGAAAGGGTGGAGAGTGAACGTCCACAATATCGTTGGGCCGGTATGAGTGATGCAATTGGAAGCGCACCTAAGAAGATAACTGTTAGTTAATAGACAGATTGTGGGCAAACGGTTTGGACTCACCTTTTTTATGTACGTCTCCAGTGGTTGAGGTAGATTTTTTCCCTGAATGTAGACAAGCCATTTGTATGCAAGGGATTGGCCATTTCGAGTGTCCAAGTCAGCGCCGCCTAGATACTTTGAGGTGTTGCCCACCACAAAGTGAAACTTGTTCTTGTTGTTCAAGCGCGACGCATTAAGCGCTGCCACTGAGGAATCGCCAAGCTCAGTTTGATTTGTGTATGCCTGCTTGCTAGTGCACGGATGTTCCTCATGCCTAGCCACATCCGCTTCCTTCTTGTGCTCTTGTGTATGATCCGTAACAATGCCCTGTTCGCGAATTTTCTGCTGTCGTCTACGCTCCGCCCGACGATTTGCGGGATTACGTAGGCGAATCGTCTGCTTGGCCAGCGTCGCGGCCGTGCGCTCTGGCAGATTTAACTGTAGAGGAGCTGGCCGCTTGCCAACTATTTTCTTGACCGCTGGATGCAGTGGCAGTTGGGCTCCAGCTCGTTCAAGCCCATCACCAAACAATGAGTCGCTGGATCGCACCTTAGACACATCTGCAGCTGTCAATGGCACCTGTTGTTTCTTATAGTACTCGCTAACCACATGGTATCGCAGCTTGTCCAGCAGCTGACGTGCTTGATACAACCGTGCATCAATCTCATTCAACTGCTGTTCCTTTGTGGTTAACTCCTTTTGGAATTCCGCGCGTACGATTTCCTCAAAACGCTTCAGTTGCGCCACGCTGTCAACATTAAAAGCAATTTGAGGCGTTTTGCTTCTCTCAGCCCGCTGATTCTGGTTGTCTTCATCCTGTTGGTATTCTTGCTCGAGCTTAATGCGCTTCTTTTCTTTGCCCGCAGTGGCGGTTGGGTGATTTTCGTATCCAAAACTATAATCGGGATCATGATATTCGCTGTGCCTTCGTTTCTTTGGCGTTGTCGTCGATTTCGTCGGCGACGCCGTCAAATTCTCCATGTGCGTCTGGACGCTATTGTTGTGATAGCACACCTTAAGGCTTTATATCACCTGGGCTCAAAATAAAACAGCTGAAAGATATTTGTATGATTTGTTTTGCACATTTATGCTGTTATTGGTACTAAATGACCAAACTTAATAAATAAACGCGCAAAATGTTTGTGTTGTGGCTAGCATTGTTGATACTATTGCAATATATCGATATTTAAATATATTCATTCGATATCCGCCTCTCAAGCCACGCGCGTTGTGTTATACAACACTGCATTGATCATCTGTGGTTAACGCGGGAAAGAATAACTAAACGCATTTGCACGGGATAGAAAAAGCGTTGCTATTCCTTGCTTAAAATAAATATAATACAATATGGTCGAACGCATTGAAGACTTGAATCTGCCCAACGCTGTGATAGCGCGATTGATTAAAGAAGCCCTACCGGAAGGCTCTAATGTAAGCAAAGAGGCGCGTGCCGCAATCGCAAAGGCAGCTTCTGTTTTTGCAATATTTATAACATCATCCTCGACGGCATTGGCACACAAACAGAACCACAGGACCATTACAGCCAAAGATATTTTGCAAACGTTAAATGAACTGGACTTTGAGAGCTTTGTACCGTCGCTGACTCAAGATCTGGAGGTCTATAGAAAGATGGTTAAGGACAAAAAGGAAAGTAAAGCCAACAACAAGAAGGATGTTTCAGCTGGAGATGCCGCTGCAAGTAGCAGCTCAGCAGCAGTAGCCGCAGATAATGAAGATGCCACCTAACAGGTGGAGCAGGCAGCGTACTGGCTATGACTTCTAATTCGCGCGTTATATATGCATACATATAGGAATTAATAATAGTTAGTGTTAATAATAGTAAGGCATATTTCTTAGTATAATCTATCTCATATATAAGCTTAATATTAATGTTAAAAGAGTAATACTATGTGTGGTACTGATTAAAAAGCCATAGACTATTGTCCTATTGTAAAAACTAACTTCATTGCAAATTACTTTGAATAAAATGGTATAATTCATGTTCGGAATTTAATATCTCAAATTAATTTAGCATATTTCGTTATCACGATTAGCTCACGCATAAACTTGACTACTTGAAAACATTTTACAACACTTCTATCAATAAGAACAAATGCTACGTGGAAAGATGTGATTTGTGATAACGATTTCCGACAAAAAATTAGTACAGCATCCACATTAAAAGTTGAATGCTTAAAATTTTTTATACAGTACAGTTTAAAACTGATTTGTGCATGGCTTACTCCACGTGCACATCATGTGCACGTGTGCTTTATATAAGTTAGACACGAGCTCATCTCTAGCATTCGGCATTTCTCACAACTTCTGGAGTTAGTATTGCTGGTAACTCTATGTAAGTCGTCATTCATTTATTGTAACCAATGGAAGATGGGTGTCACTGGCTTATGGAAGTTAATAGAGCCTTGTGGGAAGCCAGTGCCCGTGGAGACATTGGAGGGAAAAGTGCTGGCCATTGGTAAGAATATTAAAATAATATTGTGCAAACTTGTGAAATTCAATGTGATTGCTAACCATTTTATTAATGGAATAACATTGTTTTGTATGTAGATATTTCCATATGGTTGCATCAGGTTGTAAAAGGCTTCCAGGATAGCAAAGGATCTGCATTGAGTAATGCGCACCTTTTGGGTCTATTCCATCGGCTATGCAAATTGCTTTATTACCGCGTGCGGCCAGTTTTCATATTTGATGGCGGCGTGCCGCAATTAAAGCGCGATACAATTGTCAGTGTGCTATTGCTAGTTGTGTTGCAGCTGTATTATAACTGTTTTATTTACAGGCGCGTCGCCATCAACAACGCAACAAGCTCAGCAACGAGGCCGATCGCATTCAAGCACTTCTGCTACAATCTCTGGCCAAGGAGAAGGTGGTACAACAGGCATTGGGTAAGAACGCGGAGTTGCTGCTAAAATCACCCGTCAAGCGTTCAACCATAGAAAAGTCGAACAAAAATGATGAAGATGATCTCTTCAAATTGCCAGAGCTGCCAGCTTCATCAGCTGCTCAGCTCAACGATTCCAACGAAGACTTGGATAATGAGGACTATGAAGGAGCAACCACTACTTCGGATAGTTCCTTTGATGAGTCAAATGCACGTCGCACATATGATGCCAGCTTGCAAGCTATTGATGTACGTAGTCAACATTTCAAAAACCTGCCCGCTGATGTGCGCCACGAAATACTCACAGACATCAAGGAGACGCGCAAGCAATCTTCTTGGGGTCGGCTCCATGAGCTACCAGCACGAAGCGATGACTTCTGCTCTTTTCAAATGAAGCGATTGTTAAAGCGTCGTGCTGTGCAGGAAAGCCTTGAGGAGGCACAACAAGAGATGGGAGGCCACACACTGACATATGCGGAGTTGTCCGAGTTTTTCAGCGAGGAGGGCATAGTCACGCCTACAGCTATTGCTGAAAGTACGCGTCAAATAAGTTCCGATGAGCACACCAGATTTTTGTTAGTTCGTGATCTTAAAAAAAAAGCTATGGCTGCAGAGGAAAAGTCCAAAATGAGTAACAAATGTGAAACCATCAAAGAAGAAATTGACGAAAAGCCATGCACCTCATCAAAAGCATCCACTGTTTTAGACCAAAAGGAAGTGGTCCCCAATTGTGAGGGTGATTTGGAATTGGCATTGTCCCTATTTCTGGATGAATCTAATAAAGTCTATGACGACAAGGACTATGAGTACGATTCGGATCAGAACTTGCGTTTGAATCGCGAACAAAGCAAGAACTTGCGGCATGCTGCCAAGGGACCAGCACGAGCATATATGATAGAATATGGTGGCATGAATGAAGATGAAGTAGGCAACGTCATGGAAACAACACAATTAAATGATACTCAAAGCTTAGAGCGTCTCTTGCATGATACAAATGTCAATGATAATATAACAAATATAGATATGGCGAACAATTCAATTGAAGAGGCCAAACAAATAGCTTTGGCTATTGAACAGAGCCAACAAATACAAGTTAAACGCGCAGATAATTCTGACCCAATTCAAACCATTGATAGCGACACTGATTCAGACTTAGAAGAAGTTGTTGAAGTAAAGGGCACAATGTCTACAAAAAATAGCCTTGAAATCTGTGTAGACGTTAAAGATGCATTAAATGAAGACGATGATCTTTTTGCGGACATTTTTGATGAAGAGTACAAGCTAAAGGATAGCAATCAACTGGAAACTAATGCAAAAGAATTCGAAAACACTAATGAAAACATTCAGGAAAGAGATACAATGAAAGACAGTGAAAATAACTGCACAGCAATTGAGAAGATAAATCAGTCGAAAGAAAGTGAAACTGAAGGAAAGAAAACACAAGAACGAGGTGATATTGACTCTATAAAGCAAATTGATGAAAATAAACTCGTTGTTTCAGTGGTAGAAGATGACTCCAAAAAACTTTTACTAACCTCTATACTTTCCGATCTCAAAAAACAATCAGAAGAAGTTAAAAATATAACATTGGATCTCACAGAGAAAAAAGAAAAGCCCAAAGTTGCACTGAGCTCTATACTTGATGAGCTTAAAAGGCAAACGGATGAGGTTAAAAACATAAAATTGGAATCTGTAAAGATAAGCAATAGCATGGTCATAGAATTATCCTCTGATGATGAGAGCGCCAAAGTAAAAAGCTCTCAAATATCTAAAGATGTTATTGACCTTTGTGACAATGAAAGTGAAATACGTCGCGCATCGCCAAATAAGACTCCCACCAAGACCACATCTATAACAGATTTCTTTGAGACTACATATAAGATTAAACGTACGCCCGACAAGCCAATTGACACAAATGTTACACCGCCTGCATCTCCAATGGTACCTAAGCCGTTCTATGTTAAGCGTACGCCAAAATCAGGACGTAAACGTGCCGGAGAGGAGCCCAGCGATGATGATGTCTCGCCCAACAAAAAGTCCAGCAAAGCATCTAAGTCTTTGTTTGGAAATGAAGGCAATGCAGAGCAGCTTAAGGCACCAGCAGTTAATCCAGAGGTAAATAAATACACACTTATATTGAAAATAGTCAAATGAATTGTATCTTTAATCTGCTATATATTGACATTTCCTTAACATTTTACACAGGAAATTCTCAAGGACGCGGCCGAAGCCTTAAAATCTCAGAAGACAGCAGAGGAACTACAGACAATGGCTAACAATTTGGCAGGTGAACGCCGCGAGCTAGAAGCTGAACGCAATCGTCAGGACCGAATGGGCATGTCAATCAGTCAGCGCATGAGCAGTGATTGCCAGGACCTGTTGCGTCTGTTTGGGATCCCATACATCGTGGCGCCAATGGAAGCAGAAGCTCAGTGTGCCTTCCTCAATTCCGTTGGGATTACAAATGGTACAATAACGGACGATAGCGATATCTGGTTATTTGGCGGGCGGACCGTTTATAAAAATTTCTTTGCCCAAAACAAGCATGTCCTTGAGTTTCGCGCTGAGCAGATAGAGCAGACATTTAATTGCAATCGGGGAAAGCTCATACAACTTGCCTGCCTCGTGGGCAGTGATTATACCACAGGTGAGTGAGAAGAAGCCACACCCGAAACGTAGTAAATGAATATGTTTTCACAGGCATTCATGGCATTGGTGCTGTAACAGCTCTTGAAATTCTCGCCTCCTTTTCAACTTCTATTCCGAATACAACAGCATCAAACAATTCTGCCGCATCTGTTTCCATGCAGTCTGTGTTGTCTACATTAGAAAAGTTCCGAGAATGGTGGCAGGCGCATAAGAACTCCAATTTGCCTATTGGCAGCTCAGCACGCCTTTCGCTGCTCAAGAAACTTAAGAATATTGAATTGCATGAAGGATTTCCCAGTGCGTCTGTGGTGGAGGCATATTTAACACCTAAGGTGGATGACAATCGAGACGCTTTTAGCTGGGGTTCCCCTGATGTCGAATCTATACGAGAATTTTCTCGTAAATCGTTTGGTTGGACTACGGCGAAAACAGATGATATTCTCATGCCGGTCATGAAGAAAATCAACGAAAAGAAGATACAAGGCTCCATACGTAATTACTTTTCGGCGAAAAGCGCGCTTCGAGTGCAGCAACCCAAGGTCAGCAAACGTGTTCAGACTGCAATTGATAAAATGTCTGGTAAGATCGATGCAGAAACTCCAGAGAAGTTGAATAAACCAACACGTCGAGCACGTACGAAGAAAACAAAAGCATCTGAACCGCATGTAGAGAATTTAGATGATGTAGCAGATGATAATCATCCCACTCCTCCAAAGCGAGTCAGACGGAAAGCAAGAACTACGATAACGGAAGATGCAGCTGAAACGTCTTCTGCACTCAATGCATCCGTGAAGCCAGTGAAATCTGTAAATACACAAAATACCAAAGAGGTAATACCGCAAAGAGAACGTGATATGGAGCAGATGCGTAAGAACAAGGCAAAAGCGGCAGCAATTTTGAAGGCAAGCTCCAAGGCTTCCAAATAAAAAGTGTCGTATTCTTTTCATGTAAATATGCATGCCATAACAACTAATTTATAGTAAATATTAATTTCAAACATCTTGTAGTCACTACAATTTATAATAATTTATGTTATATTGAGCTGGAAGCATCTCCAATATCAAAAGACCAGTTGAGTTAATCTAGTTATGTCGAACCGAGCACACATCAAAGATCAGAAATGCTTAGAGCGAAATTCTTTAATTTTGCACCTTAACTATTTTTCTCTTTTAAGAATAACATTTTTATATAATCGTATACTCAGATTGTTAATATATGATAATATATTCCTTTTTTTTTTTTTTTGATGCTTCCAGTAAAAACCTCAACAGCATGAAGCATATTTCATATATATAAATTAAGTAAATATCATTAAGCATGTTAACAAAAAAAAAAATAATAATAATCATTTATATATACGCATTTATTACGTAGTCACTTATGAATATGTCAGAACTAATGCTTAACATAACAATTTAATTCAGGCATTGAGCGCATGATTTTTTAAATACATAAGTTATTTAATTTAACTTTTAGCTGCTTAAATTCTTGTTGCTGACAACTCAATTAGAGTTGCTTCTATTTTTGGTTTCGGTAGTTTTGATGATGATCATCATCAATATACCGTTAAGTGGATAAAAGTCAGTTCGTTCAATTGAATGATATTCCTGTTGATCCTTATTAACTATTTCTAAAATTTTAATTCGGAGAATGGACTTCTTTGTCTTTGAGACAAAATTGTCGAACTCAAATACATTAATGCAATTATGCCGAGTTCATCATGATCACGATTAGGGTCTCATTTGATTATGAGATTTATTTATGCGTCCTATGCTAATGCTTAGGATGTTAATTGAAATTTGTTCTTATGCGTTAAGTGTGTGGTGCATAAAGTGCGCTGAATATATTACTAACAGAAGTATATTTGAGATATCTTTCTCTTGCTCAGTTATAATATTCTTTTTGAATTGCTTTCCTTTTCCTCCAGATTTATTTCATTTACACAAACTTGTAATGGGAATATTTTGGAATACATAATGTTAATGTGGGTTTCCATATTCATGACTCTATCGCACTTGTTTCCTTTTAATTTAAGTTTTCAGTTTCACATGCTGTTTTGAAGTTCCCTAATTTTGGCTTCATTTTCAATTTTTTCTAAATGAAGCTCAATATTTCTGAATTTTTGTTCTCTAGTTCCATTTTAAACCGTTTTTCACTTTTCTTCTGTGAAGTTGATTCTTAACGACTTTATAGTCGCTTCTAGGCTCTGCATCTTATAAGCTTGTTCATTGAACTGTTTTCCTTTGATATTTCAGAAAAAAGATGACCACCTTATAACAGTATCCGCTGCACTGTTCATTTAATTTCTTAAAAACCGCTGTTGTGCCATTTGCCAACTGTATTTAAAAAGGCGTATACTAAAGACTGTTTAAGCTCTTTTTGAATAAGAGTTCATAATATAAAAGTTGGGAAATTCTTTTGATTTTAAAAATAAGTTTCGCAGAGTGTGCGAAATTTTTTGATACTTCTTTGGTAAAATCTTTATAACCTTAGAAGACTCTTCAATTGATTTAACTGTAGCGTTTATTTCGCTAGTTTGGATTTGTGTTTTTGGTTGTAGTTATATGACCTAAAAACTTCTTTCTTCTTCACTAAAACTTCTCTAGTTTTTTTTTAATATCTGTTTTTTAATGGAAGAATTCTGAGTTTTCCTTAAAAAACAATTTTATTGTATGTAAATTAGTATCATTTAATTAACTAAGTAAGCTATCTATACTTGTCAGCATAAATCTAAATGAATCCAAAAAACCATTCATTTCATCTTATAAAAATATTCATTTTTGTTATAAGTGTACCTTGTTAAACCAAACATCTTTTATAGCTCTTATATTACTAACAAAGATTCCTGTAAGTAATATAAACTCTAGAAATTAAATGGTTCTGTCTGTATACAACATTATTAAATAAAAACTAAATAAAATATATATCTCTATTATCTCATTAAATTGTTTAATTTGAAATAAAAGTCAAGTATTTAAAATACAAATTTCGGTATACGTTACAAAAATTATTTGAGGGAAATGGTTGATGACAATGCCTTTTATCAACGTTGGGCTATTGCGAAAAATAATAAAAGTGGTACATTAAAATTTTCGGGGGAGTGTCGAAAGCTAAGGATAATTTTTCTCAAATCCATTTTCGATCTTTTGTACGATGCAGAACTCAGCTCACGGAATGCGATAAGTAATCAGGCAATTCGATCTATACAGCATTGTGTAAATTGGTTGGCTCAGTGCTTAAAAGCATTACAGGAGTCAGAAGATCTGACGGAATATAAGGCGAAAACTCCACAAATGGAATTTGGCTCGTCTAACGCAAATATTGGGCGAAAATACGTTGGCAGTCTGAAACAGTTGGTAAACAGCTACAATAATTACAAACGTAGTCGACCTCCTAGAGAAAAAAGAATTAAAACGAAAAAAATATTTCAAAACATACTGATCGAAAATATTGAAAGTTTGAAATTAGCTATTCAAATTCTTGCGCACTTTAAGATTAAAAGGAAAAAACATTTGTTAAAGCCAAAAAAACAAAATCGAAAGTTAATAGCTATCAAAAAACCATCAAAGACGAATGAAATAAAACCCATTGAAACAAACGAACAAACAGAACCAGAAACAAAGCAGATAGTTGCGACTAATACGAACGAGAATACTCGTGGTGTTATCATAGAAAGCACTCTGCCTAAAATAAAAGAATCAAACAAATTTTCAATTTCGAAAAGTACGAATACTTCGAATCACAGCATTTATGATCCGATTCAGTTTAACAAAACAATTCGTCGGCAAATATATGACCCGGAAAAATCGGAAGTAATACCGATAAAATCCTTGGCACCGTCGATCGCGTCGGTTAGAAAGCATTTGATGAAAGGACCCATGGACGTCTCTTCATTGAAATCTGTAGCCCATACGTTAATTCAGAACTTATTTGCTAGCAAAGCTGCGCCATTTGAGCTAATCAACGAAAAAGAAGAACCAGAGGGTCCCGACAACGAGTTTAAAAAAGTGTGGCGTGCTCTGGTTGTTGAACATAATCACATGATGTACTTTCCTGGAAAGCGTAATCTTATGCAAATAAAAGATGATCTTGCATCGTATTACTCAAAAATAATGCAATTGTCGCTTAAAAATCAGATTAATGCTTCTATTGAGGCAGAGAACCGCAAAAAAATAGATATTCGAAAAACAAAATTAGTTCATTATAATAATATCGCTAACAAATCGCTAGAAGAGAATGAAGCTTACCATAAATTGATCTATAACTTACATGTAAAAAAACTAATGAACGCTCGGCAGAATAGTAGTATTCAAAAAATGCTCAACATGGTTATGTCGGATACATTGCCCCAAACCCAGTCCGGTCAAGATCTGATAAAAAAGTATGAACGTAATCCGGAATTTTATAATATACTATTAATGTCGTCCGACCATAATATTGGTCACTCTGACGACAGTTTGTTGAAATTTATTGAAAGCAGGTTTGAGTATATGAAGGATGAAACTGCTCGACAAAGGAGACGTTTGTGGTTACAGCAAACTTCTGCTAATTTAAGTCCAAGTTCCGTATTTGGCCACTCTGAAGATAGACCTCTTCCAATCAGCTATAAAAATAATTTTGTTCTAGATGACGAGTACTGTAAAAAAGTGCGAGAGAAGTGGACTAAGTACTTTGCGGAGCAAGAAAAAACGCCACTAATGCTTCATCTGGAAGAGGTTCGCCAGGAAAAACTAGCACTCGCTGCCCAAAGGAAGGCAGAGCGCAAGCTTAAGAAAATTGAGGAAGCGAAGAACCAAAGGAAAATGAGACCCATTACGGCGCTTTATACCTCACCCCGTGTCACCCATCGCATGCGCCAAGCGATCGAGCGTCTTGCTGAAGAATCACTTGTGCCACCTACGCAATATGAAGCCGAACAGGAGCTTAATGCAAGCACCTCGGTTATATCAATAGAAGAAATAGATAACGAAGCAGCTATTGCAGATATTATTCTAGACTCACAGGATGTGACTAGTTGCTGCAGCAAGTGCCGCAGCCAATCGGATTGCGGCTCGGTTCTTAAAAGATTTTTCCAAACCCATGATGAGATAATAAATGAAGGTAACAAGTTGGATAACTTGTCAGATTTTAAAGATGCGACATTTTGTTGAACCCAAAATAAAACAAGCGTTTTTTCTGTAAATAATACGTGAAGTAAGGGACAGCAAAAAAGATTTGTTGTTAATAAGCTCATTATTTATTCTAAATACCCATGCAGTACAAAAAGTTATCCCGACAGCCGACATAAACGCGCCTAAGGCTCTCAATATAACACGGCGTTGAAAACAATTCACCGGCCAGCTTATCCAACCATTGTATCTGTCCATTGCCCAGATTGGCTAGCACAACGCGTCCATTTGTAGCGCAACAAAATACTAAATTCTCACTGGGCTCTATTGTCAGTATTGTGGGTGTGGCATAAATGGAACTTCCCACGTCTACCTTCCAATGAAGCTCAAACGAGACATGCTTTGCCGCGTTCGTCTTGCAGCGCAAGCAATACAAATGATGGTCGATGCATCCAAAAAGCACAAATGTGTAACCCATCTGAGTGGGCGGTGCCTTTACTACCAGCGAAGAGAATATGTTGCCATCAGCTGCATGCGTAGCCAACTGAAAAGAATTTAAATGTGATATATAATTCAATAAAGAAATATATTTAATCAAAACTTGGCCTTACAATTTGTCCGTTATTTACATCACAGGCGTGTACCCGTCCAGCGACCTCGGCGCAGACAAAAATCTCGGCACTGGAGTCAAGCAAGACGGGAGAAGCGAAAAAGGGCTCTTTGCATTTTTGCATCCACTTCACGGACCCATCCAAGAGTGAGACACAAGCATATCCACCATCTAATGTACAAATAATCACAGCCTGTTGCTTGGTCAGTTCTAGTGGGGTAGCAAAAATGGCCTTTTCCCCTATGCGCATGCACCAGAGCACCTGTTGTCGTTCTGTCGACAGGCACATGACATTGTAGTCTTCTGCATAGCTGCAGACGACAATTCGTTCTCCATCCGATGATAAGAAGGGCTGCGCCTTAATCATGCCACCGATATCTATGTTCCATAAAAGATCGCCAGTCAATGGATTGAATCCATAGAGGCAACCGTCGTAACATCCTACCATGGCCAACTGCTCGCTAAGGAAAGTAACCTTGCACTCAATACGATCGGGCAATTTTATTGTGCAATGCTCTTGTCCAGTCAGAGCATCGAGAGTGCGTAACAGTTTCGAGTGGGCGCCCACGCATATATATCGACTCTCATACTGTGCCACCGGTGAATCGACGCACTTGCTGAAATTGACCTTCCAGTGGAACTGAAAATGTAATGCTGGCTTTTCAAAGCGAGTAATGACCAAGCCGCCGGTACTAGTGCTGCAGCCCATAGTAGCACTAACAGCACAACTTAACGGTGGCTCGATGGGTTTTAGCTTGGTGTTGTGAGTCACCAGCTTGGCGCTATCTAGAAACTGCAGTATGCTGCGCAGAGAAACGCTTTCGTCTAGTAGCATTTCAAAAAGATGTCGCTGTTCGTCGTCGATGCACATCTGCAGACCAATTTCGCGACACAGAGTAATAGCATGGAAAGAGGTTCCGCCGGCATGTCGAAAACTAAGATCATATCCGCTGAGATTGCATTGCGGGCTTCCACGTTCCAGCCGCTGTTTTTTTGGAGTTCTTTCGGTTTGGACGTCCACGCATTCCAGTCTGTCGTGCAGAAAGCTTTTAAGTATATCTTGAGCGGGCTGAGCTAGCAGGGTACACTCTTTAAGCAGGAGCATCTTGTCCAACTTGCCGTGCGCATTACATGGAAAGTGTTGCAAGTAAACGAATCTGTCTGGTTGTTCAGCAGTAATTAGTTTGGACAATATATCAAACGTTTGGGCCCTTTGCTGTATCTTTGTCTTAAGCTCAAGGCTTCGAATGCAACAGATTAGTTTCTGCAATTCATCGAGCCATAGACATGTAGCCAATTCGCTGGTATGCAAGCATTTCTCTATCTTGCGTGTGATGAGCCCTGTAAAGGAGATGTTTAGTAAGCCCCAACATTAACTCCATTTGTCATACCCAGGCTGATTTTTGTACCGGCTCGTTTAACTACATCATTGGCGCGTTCTTCATAAACAATCGAGCCGTCCTCAAAGCGCCGCACGATATCCCCCGTAGCACGATAGCACACAGAGGTGCCTTGGTCCTTCTGATTTTCGATATCATCTATCTCTGGTATATAGCAACGACGTGTAGCGCTGCCTAGCCAAAGTTCACCACAGCCTGCGTTCGGAATGTTTTTTTTCGACTGAATATGGATGCGCAACACAGTTTGATCATCAATGGGCGTGCCCAATGGTACGCGAGAATGCAGAGACTGCAAAATGTACATCAAACTCCAGCAAGAGACCTCTGTAATACCGTAGATGTTACAGATATGTTTTTGTAATAGCACCTGTGGGTCCATCCAGGTGGCCAGCTCTGCGCTGGACGGAAATGGTTCCCCGCCAAGTAACAGCACTCTAAAATTACAGGGCACTTTAATGAAACCTTCGATTAGGTGGATTGATAAATGGATAGCGCGACAGCACCTACCTCAGTGTACTAGAGCTGCTTAAAATCCTTTCCCGTATTGCGTTCGCACCGAACTGTCGAAAGAGCGAGGGCGTCATTTGTAATACGGTTATGCCGGGCGTGGTCACACTTGTTGGAAAGAGGGCACTCAAAACGCGCTTGGGCGACTCACGAATCGAATAGTGAGTGAGCAGGACAGCGGCACCATTTTGCATTGCCAAGAACAGCTCCACAACTGATGGATCAAATGTGCAAGGTGTCCCCAGGTAAATTATGTCAGCCATAGAAATATTTAGTTTTTGACTACGTTTTATAAAAGAGATAAAAATATAAAGATGATATGGTAAGACTATACGAAAGACTAAGCATTATGTCCAAAATTACTTTTTGGCTTTGCAGTAGGTTCTTATGTATTAAAACCCTCAAATCTTTTCTTCTTCAGCTCACCTTAGGCCCACTATATTTGGTGCAATGCATTCGTAAGGTACATGAATTAACTTCGGCTCTCCTGTGGTCCCAGTGGTAGTAATTGTATAGCACATATTGGGTGGTAGTGGAGCCTTTGCCTCGGGCGCAGCTTCAGTGGAGGTGTGTTTCAACTTGAAGAGTTTGTACTCCTCATTGTAGACGAGAAAGCTGTCGAGACTTTCAAAGTAGACAGCACCCACCGGCATGTGTGCATTGACAATCAAGTAATCGATGCCAGCCCGGCACATCTGCGAGTGCAAGGCCTTCGACAACATCATCTTGTCGTTGCAATAGAAATGACATTTGTGATTCAGTATGCTAGAATATAATTAGATGATTAACGAAATAACGGCAAGCACGATTCGCAATTCAACTCACGCGAGAATTAATATGCATGACGAAGGTGTGTGACTTGCGATTCGAAAGGCAATGCCGATGCCAGTGGGCACTCCGTTGCGACGCAGTCGCTCCAAAATCGTCTCAACGCTGCTAACGGCCTTGCGATAGCTAATGGAGAAATCCTGGGGCTCCATTCGTTTTATGACAAAGGGCACATCACCAAATTCTCGCAGCTTTACAATGTCATAAAGTTTAATTGGCTCTCCCACAATTGTAGGTTCAATGTCAATTTCCGACTTGAACTCGATTTCAACTGTAGTCTTTGATTCCAAGTCTTGTTTGAGCTCCACATCCAGCTCTGACTGACTGTTGAGTTCGGTATCATCTTGAAGTTCAGTTTTAATTCTAATAGTTTCCATTTTCTCCAGTCGATGATCCCTTTGCCGGTGCTTTCCGTAATAAGATAGATAGTACGATAGGTCTCAAAAGTAAACAATTTAATTTAATTGTGCTATTACATATTTTTTGTAGACAGCCAGGTCTTTAATTTTTTGACCTTAATTATTATAATACATCGAGATTATATGAAATTTAGTACAGATAGTTTAAGTTGATTTTAAACTTATATACTTCGCGATGGTCAACATAAACAGCTGCTTGCTAACAGTTTAGAATAATCGATATCACTTATCGCAGTGAGTAAAAAAAATACCAAATGCGCTTATCGAAAACCTGTTGCGCTTATCGGTACTAAATGCGCCCATTGAAATACAAACGTGTAACGTGTAAATCACATGAATAAAATAATTTATTCTAAGTGCGAAAGGAATCATAAATGAAATATGTTAAGCCATGATTCAACGATGTGAATCGAATGCACCCCAAGTCCATAACAAATAATCTTAAATGCAGAAAAAGTAAGTCAATTTAATAGGTAATCACCATATATTTCACAAAGTTTTCTCCATAAAACCATGTCTTAGTATAGACTCGTGTACACAGATAATAATTTTAAAACTCGGTTTTATAAGTACGTGGACAAAAATATTAGTTTTTTCATTATTTATTTAATTATTTGTTCCTTGTTCTTTCATGGCATGAAATAATTCTAAGCCTATGTAGGCAATGTCATTTAAAAGAAGTTGTCGAGAGTTATATTTCTTCATCGTTTGGCGTTAGCATCAAAACTGTTTCAAATGTTCGTCTGCAAATAACTATGCATGTAAATGCGTTAACAATAAAAATTATTCAAAAATATTCTAAAATAGTATTTGTAATAATGTTATTCGTTATACTTATTCATATTATAATACATAAACTGAATTCTGCCACATATACATATCTACACATTTTCTTGTTTTTTTTTTTTTTGGATTTTTCAGAATATAAAGCATGTTGTGCTGTTTCTTTCTCTTACTACCGTTAATTTGTATACATAACCTGAGTTTAACATTATAATATATATTTTCTGTTTTACGACTGTTTTTTTGAGCTCACAGAGACTCCTTCTTTCATCATCCTTGTATATTCACGCTGCATAGTCGAACGGCAATGTTCGATCAGTTTGTCCATATCTTCCTTTTCATAGCCCTCAGTTGATATCTCGGGCAGTATTTGTATGACAGCATGTCCTGGCCGGAAAGTTTTGTTTTCTTCATCGAAGAAAGAGTATTTCGATGTTACCACCGGCTGTATCGTGCACTTGCTCTGAAGCGCAATGTGGAATGAGCCCTTTTTGAAGGGCAGCAGAGTTTCCTTGGAGTTACGCGTGCCCTCCGGAAAAACTAATATCTTACAATTGCGTTCGCGTATAGCAATCGCCTCTTTTTGCAATGAATTAATTGAATCACTCTTACGCGATCTGTTAATGTACAAGGTGCCCCAGAGCCAGGCGCCGACGCCAAAAAAGGGCATGTACAGAATCTCCTTTTTGGCCACAACAGTCGGCCGGCCTATCACTGGCCACAGGTGAGCCAGTACGCACAAATCCAAAGCGCTTTGATGGTTCATAAGCACAACACTGCCATGTTCCCTCCTTACATTTTCCACACCGCGCACTTCCATGGTGATGCCCATGAACTTGCACAGCTGGAGAAACAGCCAAGAAGGTACTCTGTCAGGAGAAATAAAGAAACATTAGGCCCAAACAGTTGTAAGGGTGTACAGCGCTTTACTTACAGCCCATTTCGATAGTCCCTCGGGCGGAGGATCATGAAAGGGATGCAAACCATCACAATCGCTCCAGCTCCGAACATTATAATAAACATCCTCATCTGATAAGGTGCTTTGGCTGCAACACTCAAGATAAGAGCAACAATGCAGGCCAATCCAATTACTTCACAGGTGCAAGCCATGTCCCGGGTTAGTGTAGAGGTTGAGGTTTATTTTCCCCAATAATACTATAAAATTTTAATAAGATATATGGATATAATTTAATTGGTTTTATAAATTCAAATTTATGAAAACTAAAACTAAGTCAACTAACGAATTCAAGATAATCGACTAAATTGTTCTGAATTCGTATTAATATTTAAAATTTAATTAAAATATCTATTAAAGATCGATTTTAATCAAAAGAATAGCTATTTAATACACTTTGAGTTTCATTCGAAAATGTTAAGTAATAGAATTAAAAACTAATCGTATATGTGCTGCTGTTAGGCATACTGAAGAATATTGAAACTCATAACTCCAAGGTAGATTTTCACAGTCTATCACAGTCTATATCAAGACTATATCATACTTATTAAAGATAAACCTTAAATTTTTAAAGCTTAGATTGATTTTGAAGCCATTGAAGAATTGATTAATTATACATATAGATAGATTCTGAATATTGTTGAATTATATATATAGGTTAACAAGTTTTAGCTTTAAACACCGATGTCCATGCTTGTATACATTATAAAAGCTGATATTCTCTGATATATAGTATTTCGATCCGATCGACTATGATATATATAAGTTTGTAATTGAGAGATATACATATGGAAATCCATAGTAGTTAAAATTGAGAGGCAAGTTGGGCATGAATATATATTCTCTACTAAGTTGGAAATGTCTTTATTTATAATTAAAATTTATTGTTTTTGGTTTAAAATTCAATAAGCTGACTGTAAAGCAAAATCCTGGTCGGTGCGCGACAGACAATATCCATAAAAAATTATATACAATGAAACTAGACCAAGGTTGCATTTGGCCTGATTTGCTGGTCTTCGATATCCAATTTATGTAGAAGTGTATGTCAACGCGTATACATTAAATTGCTAGAAAACAAAACGATATCGTTGACAGCTAAATTGATTTGAAACACTTCTGCAACCAGATAAGAAATTACCTGGCAACACAGGTGTCTATGTAAACATTTATGTGTATATGCTTATGCACTGTCCATAAAAAGTTGATAATTTAATATCAGCTTTTGTTGTACCGCTTTATGGGCGTCGTCGAGTTCTTGGCAACAGCTTGCAACGAACCTCTTCTGGTAATCGGAGCTACTGCAGAGTCTGCTTCACAATTATTGCTTAGCTGCCTCCTAGGCACGTCCTAAGCAACCGCGGTACCACACAGAACTAACTACTCATATCATATCAGGTAAAGGGTCTAACAGCAAAATTCACGCTTAATCACAAAGAGCTTATCAAATATTACGAACTTAATGGCAAGTAATATTTTGGTTGGATCAGGGCGCTGAACTTTGATATTATGCTCACACGTTTCATTGGATTCCGACATGTTGAGCATTCTCGACTAGGGAGATACTCTCGACTTAACTTAACTTAAAAATCAAACTAACCTTAATGCATTCAGAAATCTTACACAACATTTACGTAATATTGTTCTCTTTCTATCGGGTTTTGCACAAGCTTTGTAAATTGCATTTAAATGTGTGAACTAGAATTCTTAATTTGAAGTTTGAACCAAGGCCTTTATTGAATGTATTATCATTTTAATTGGTATGAGTAAATATTTATAGTGCGCTATTATCGGCTAATCACATGCATAGCTTTCATAGGTCAGAAGTACAGCTAATCCCAATCAATAAAATGATAAACGCTTTTAATAAAACAATCTTGGCTTGGCACTCGTAAACTTCGCAGGGGTTCGATTTTCTTTTGTAGCCTTATAGATTAAGATTTGTATGTCAGGATCATATACTTATTTAAGGTTATAATCATACAAACAGTAATTCAGAAAATTAATTTTTATATTTGACTGCAATTGGTGCCAAAATCTTTGTTTAAATTTTAAGAAATGAGAGTTCTTCATATAAGACTATTTCGCTTAAAGATAATATATTGAAGGCAAAGTTACCTGACAATAAATTCACGCAATGAAATAATTCAAGTCTAGTTTACTTTGTAAATTTTCAAATATCAGCAATTATAATAAATTTATGAATAATAAAATAATCTAAATAATCATTTTTTTAACTTAGCTATGTTTGTATATGTTGCGAACGGTACTTGAACTTTATTTTAGAGTAAAGTCTATTTTATTGTCCCAATACTTTTAACAATCGGAACGGTAAATGCGCTCATGGTGTTTCTATCTCTATAACAACTAAAGAGATGAGCGCGTGTTGAGAACTCGTGCCTACGGCACGAAGTGACACGACACGAATATAAAAACGTTTGAACAGAACTTTTGAGAAAATAAAACAGTTTAGTCTAGTGGTACACTAGACTGCAAATCTCGTGTTATCTACTAGCCCACATTATTAGCCATTAAAATTGTGTCAAAAAACTTCCGGTCGAATAAGTTGGGCTTGAATCACGAAAAATAGAACACGCTCGGCTATAAATGAGAGGTCGCTTCAAATTTCAGTCACTCAACGCAACGTAATGATAAGATTATGGCGTGATTCAATCTAATGTATACATACATATGTACATATGTACATATGTACTTACACACATACATACGTATACACATATTCATGTGCATAAATACATTAATACATATTATTAAGCAGTCAGCACCAATTTGTCATATACATATTTACAAACAATTTCCAAGTTCGAAGTCAAAGTAGTTTTGCGATTTGGGAAGCACGAGAACGTCAGCTGGTCTTCAACAAAAATATCTGCCAGAATATAGACGTAGTCAGATCAGACTGATTCACTTGAATTGTCTGAAATGTGGACAATATGAAATCGAATAATTTTAAATGGCTAATCGTTTTGCATATCTAGATTAGTCTCGGATCGTGTGACATGTTCGCTTTCCACTAAGTTTCATATTTATATTCTGAGCATTCCTAGTCGACTCACATATTTACGACAATATTTCAAATTGTAGATAGCCCATTTTGTTTGGTTTACGGATGATTTACTGTAGTTTATTATACGATAATAGACCTATCATCTGTTAAATCAGAAAGAAATATCAAAATAACTTTGAATTTTCTAAAAAAATAAACAAATGATATGTGACCTTCAAATGAACTTGTTAGTGGAGATTTTATCATATGTACAAATAACAAAAAAAAAAAAAAACAATCAATGATTTCCTATGTTAAGATATTTATAACATTTGTAATAATTATAATACTACGACGTTAACTTAATCCTTTGCTCATATTCAGCATTTTATTCTTATTGTACGGATAATATGTCCTACTCCCAGCACACAAAAAGGGTATCACTGTCTTATAGTCGTTCGAATTTTCTTTCTCTAACTTTTTTTATTTTGCATACATACTATAAGGCTGAAATTTATAAATAATTCTAAAAAGTTATCATCTAATTAAATAAAATTGTGACACGCAATATAAATAATTAGTGCCGCCAAAAAGGAATGCTTAAAGTATTGTTTGATATCTGAGCAGAAGGAATAAATAATGACAAGACTAAGGTTTAAAATATAACTGCGTACATACGGTGAATCACAGCTCGAATGAATCAGTATTTTGTATATTACAGGGAATGCAACTTGTTCACATGAATGTTATGTATGTACATATACTAGTTCACAACTTTAATGAACTACTATTTTGTACATTACATCAAATTTGTTGCGCTCATATGGTTTGGTTCATTTGAGCTGTAGGCCACGGATTGTGCTACAGGGTAGGTAGGTCAGCAGCACACGAAGCAAATCTGTAGCAGCCGCAAAGGACATTGAACGATAAGGGGGTGGCTGGGTTGGGCAGAGACAGTGCAGGGGAATGTAGCACATGACGACACACGCATTGGAGAAGCATAAGACAAAATGAGTGCGCAGTAAACCAATTATTTTTCACCAGGATACTTCAAACGTTCACTCACACATGCTTATACATACACATACATATATTATATATATATATATATATATATATATATATATATATATATATTATATACATATATATTTATGTATATAATTGCACGTAGGTGTACATTAATATGGATACAAATATTAACTAGAAAAACAATTTTACAGACGGATTCACTAATAAACTGCTTGGACATTTTCACTTACTCTGTTTTTGGGTTGGCCAGCTAGTTAAATACAAAAAAATTCGTCCACTCTACTTTTACACCTACTGATGCTGCTGGCTGCTGTTGCTTTTACTCATACAAGTCGCTGTCCGATGTCGGCATTTGCCGTTGCTATTCCAATTGTTTCCTATCGACACAAACCGTAATTGAACCCAATGCTCAAAGACTGAAATTCAAACAGCATTGTACATGTCAGGCAAGCCCTGAGAAAGTTTAAAATTCGGCCACTTGGTACTTGGTTCACAGTTAGGAGGCAATTACTAATATGACCGACTTGGAACTATGATCGTGTAGCCATCCAATACAACTTCCCACAAACACTCGTGTTATTCAAATGCCAGTAAACGACTAGTGAATTAAATAAGCTTTCGCATGCTCTATAATATTTTTCAATGTATGTGTGCGCGCGCAATTGTGGAAAGTAGAGGAGTGTGCGTGCCCTTCGTGCTTTAGCCCAAGCATGCGACTCGTGCAATCCTAAGTCTCGTATTGACTGCGAAATAAGCACTGCCATCATACAAAACTGATTACACATCAAATTTTTTAACTGTATTAGTTGTTTTTTGTATTGTTTTTTGAAACTTTATTATGCTAAGGTTGTAAAAAAATTGTATTCAACAAGTGTTGGAATAATAAAAATATTTTCCTCACGCAACCATCTCGATATACACTATTTTGCACTCACACATACAAACAGAAGCCAAGCCAGCCCTCGTCCTACCGTTGAAACCGACAACCCCAAGGCATTTATAAGAGAGAGATAGAGAGAAATTGAACAATTTAAGAGAATGTGCGTACAGCATGCTTAGCATACATTTACTCACACTAATATACATTTATTATTACATGCATATAAGCTAGAAAACAGTTACGTACTGAGTACGTTTTAATTACAAATAATACGTATTTACATGTGTGTAAGAGTAAAGAAGTGTTGAATCAGTTATAAAGTTTTAATTATGATTTCTAATGTTAATGCACGTATCTCTGCAATATTTATATTTATGTCATCGGAATGTTAACAAAATCTATTGAATTTATTTTGAATAATTGTTTTAAAAAAAATGTGAGCATATCAAATAAAAAAGCTCGCCCGTTCTTACATGAAATGGAAATTCAAATGGAATGCTACCATTGGGCGTATTTTATTAGGCGATATATAATTTGAGGTGTCATCGATAACTCTAAATTTTCATATGCACTTTAACATGCGGATGTTCTAAATAGTCCGCATTTTTCATTGCACATAGCAGTGTTTGTACTCATTTAGCACTGTTAAGAGCTTTTTATATTTATATTATATATTTATGAAAACTAAGAAATTGATCTTAAAATGTGCTTATACTTTCAATTTTCTTTGTTTTTTAAGCTTTACTAAAAGTATACCAAATAAATATTTATATTATGTACAAATTTGTATTACCAGGGCTGACAGATTGTTTTCCAGAATATGGGCATTGGTTGCTGCTAAAACCAGCACGCCAATGTTAAAGTATGTGCAGTTATGTTAAATATTATTACTTGCGTTGCCGCTTGTTGGTCTTAACAAAGTGATAAAAATGCTAAATCTAGGAGTAGAAGACGCAGGACCTGCCGTCGAGGATACAAAAGATAATCGAATATCCACTGTAGAGTCAATGCCGTGTCGTCTATGCCATTCACGATCAACACTCACTAAAGAATCACCAAATATCTATGAAGCGTCTGCGGATTTTATTAAAGAAAATTGCGAAAAGGAAGGCGAAAAACTGCTAATAGCTGATGTGTGTCAAAGTATTTGGGGTATAAAGTACGAACGCCATGAATTCCTGCCGGAACTCATTTGTGAGCGTTGTCTGGAAATGTTGAAGGACTTCTATGAGCAACGCCGTTGCATGCAACAACGTGAAAATGAGCTGCAGCAGGACTTAAAGAACATTATTTCTCTGGATGCCAAGTATCGACCAGGCTTGAATGGCAATCCGGGTGTATTTGAGTTCGAGGAGGGCGAAGAAGGTTGCGTCATTGTCGACGTGGATCCGGATCAACTATGCGAAACGAGCGATGATGAGTTCTTGGGCTCCGATGGCGAGGCAGAGGTTGAAGACGAGGAATGGGATGAGGAAGATGAGGAGGAAGCGGCAAATGATGAAGATGTGGAGATACCACTCGGCATGGATGCAGCTCAAATGGCACTCATGCAAGCGCATCTCACAGCCGATGCCGTGGTCAATGCTAATGCCCATCCCAAAAGCGCTTTCCTTTGTCAATACTGCGATCTGGCGTTCACCTTGCAGCAGGATTGCCAACAGCATGAGCAAGCAGGCCACGATCTTGCGGCTCCTTACAGCTGCAACTACTGTCAGTTACGTTTGACGACGCGACCGGCTCTGATTGCACACATCAAAGAACTGCATGACGCTGAGCGTCCGTATGTGTGTGCCCACTGCAACAAAGGATTCGTCCGACGTTCAGACTTGAAGAAGCATACTATTGTGCATACGGGTGTGCGCCCCTTTTCGTGCCATGTCTGCTCCAAAAGCTTCTCGCGGAATACAAATCTTACCAAACATTTGCGTATACACAGCAGCGTGAAACCCTTTGTTTGCCAGCAATGCCCGCGCTCTTTCCAAACGCCCGTTGAGTTGATGAAGCACAGGCGCTCCCATTCCGAGGTCAAGCCGTATCAGTGTGATCGTTGTCCCGCTTCGTTTGCACGCAAAGATAAGCTTTCTATGCACCAGCACGTGCACCAAAAGCGCGATGCAGAGCAGCAGCAGCAGCAACAAAATGTGCGCATGACTTTGCCAGCCGAGCAAGTGCAGCTTCCACAGCATCCATACATTGATAATGATGCAGCAGCAACACAGACACCGACACAGACGCAACAGCAGACGCAGTCCTATACCTGTCCTCCAATGCAAACGAAGATTAAACCATCATCGAAGGTGTCACGCAACTTTCGCTGCGATGTTTGCGACAGGGGATTCCAGCGTGAACGAGATCTACAGCGCCATCGGGCTCTGCACATGGACAGCCTGTTTGCATGCAAAATTTGTGGACAGAACTTCAATCGGCGCGAGCAACTGCAGCGCCACGAGCTGGAGGTACATGGCCCCAGTTACACTTGTGCGATCTGTTGCATCAACTTCCTGCAGCAGAGTGAGCTGCAGACCCATCTCAAGGTGCATGAGCTACAACATAGCGTGGCCAAGAGCACTCAGGAGGCTCTATTAGCTGCCTCTACAGTTCCGCTGACTCATCCCATTGTTGGCGAGCAAAGCGGTGCTGCCAAGCCGCCCATCGCCCAGGAGCCTGTCCCCATGTCCAACTTAAGACCTGCCGAATTGTCATTCTATAGCAATATGATACCAACGATGAATTTGGGCTTTTATAGCGAGACGCGCCCCGAGGAGCGCAATGGAATTTAATAATCTATTAGTAAGCTAAGTGGAAAGTGTAATGATCGTAATAAACATTGTAATTGAGCCAAAAACATACTTTAATTAAAACAGAGTTTTCTGATAAACATATGACACTCTGTTTATAGTATAGATATTGATAGACCTATTCGATAAGGTTTACTTATTATTTCCATTGATGACTGTGCAGAGCGGTGACTGTTAGGCTGTGACTTGACTGCAAGTATTCATATCACATATATGGAATATTTCTGGGAACCAATTCTCCTAATCTAATCCTAATAGAAAACGGGCGTTTTCTAGCAATTTAATGGAAATATAAACTTTGGTAAGCGTGCTCAGAGATTTAAATATTAAAGCTGAGACTGAAGCTGTGACTGAAGCATATTGAAGTGTTTTCTTGTTCTGTCTCTACTAAACATTTTCCCAAAGCACTTAGGACCAGAAACCTTATATTTTGATCGAAGTTCCGATCTTTTGTGTGTCCAGTTTCTAAAAATTGCATTTTATTGAAATTATATTTATCAAATGTATGAATTAAATACATATAATAAACTGTGGCTAACAATTAAAAAATGGAAAGAATAGAACATTTTTTCACTTAGTTAAAATGAATCAATTTTAGACACAGAAATAAATGTTAAATCAATAAAAATATTCCGATTCTCTTTTCATTTATAGACATATTCATAACGTGTAGTATCTAAATTATAAATCTTAAATATTTATAAAATATAAAAAATTGTGGTTGCTATTATAATGAAACTGTCATGCCCATTGAGTTAATCTATTAGCGGGCAGTTACACCCCCATTGTCTGATTATGCGACTCAACAAGCCTCACGCCCAACGACTTAATTGTTTTACGCCTTTGCTCAAGACTCCAGAACTGCTGTCGCATTAAGAGAGGCAGAGAATCGGGGACACGATCGGACAAACACGGAGACGATGTCGAAGCCGAAGCCAAAGCAAAGCAGCTGCTCCAGCTGGTCAGCGTGTGTCAGTTTACTTGCTAGCTGCACCGGTTCCACATTCCTCTTCGTGCTTCCTCACGATCAGTTCACGAGCATCATGCAACGAGTGAAGACGTGAAGATCGTTGCGGTACGCGAATTCCCGAGTGTAAAACAGCCTGTGAGCAGTTGGCAAACGTGGGTTCGAGTTTGTTTACATTTGATATCAATATGGATAAGTTTTCAATTGATGATATAAAATAAGATTAACTAAATAAATAAAATATATGATAAATAATGTGCTATGAATATTACATTGCAAAAACAAAAATGACGGGCAATAAATAATGCCAAAAAATTAAAAAAAAAGTGACGTCTGGCCATATGAATAATGTGTGCTTAAAGTTTAATATTTATAATTTATATGGAACAAAGTAAAGTATATTTCTTAGGTAAAATGCAAAGTCTAAGAGACAAACATATTAGACACAACTCTTGGCAGACATGCAGAGATGAGTGGTTGGACAATAACTAGATCAAGTCAAGCTTTATCAAATGTTTATCTTATGTGAATCGCGTTTCTTTAACCTCGCCCTGCCAAAGCAGCGAAACTTGTTGCTATTCTCGCTATCAGCAACATGTTGCCCGCAACATGTTTCGAGCACAGCAAACAAAAAAAACTCCCACGGCGCCTCGGGCGGGTACGGAAGGCATCTTTAATGCAGATAGATCCAGTTACATTCCTGATTTATACTTTTACATGTTCTACAAAATTTACAGCTTGCGTTAGTTGAATATTTATATTGGCCAAGAAATACTTTGTTCTTTTCATAAGCGGTAATCAATTTGCACCTTTGCTGCATGAGAAAGTATGAAAAACAAGATAAATTAGATATAAATAAATAATTAAAAATTGGACATAAATAAAAAATAAAATCAGTAAATAAATATTTACCAAATCTGAATTAGTGTAGTGGTATACAAATATACTTTGAATATATCTAATTTCTAATAACAAAACTGAAAGGTTCGTTTTTGTATAATTCATATAGCGTTCTCTTCTACCAATTGAGACCATTTTTAGTGAATGCCGACCACTTCATATGTAATATGTCAATTAGTAAAAGTAAACGAACAAGAATTTTTCTAAACGAAAAATTTAAATAATTTTTTTAAAATTATATTTCATAATTTTTTGTTGAGCTACAACTTCTTGCCTTGCTGTGCAGCACTGTTTTTTTTATTGATTTTAAAATAATATTTAAGAGTCGCAATGTTTGAAAACGTTTAAGTGACAAGATTAGGGCATGTGAAAGTAGAAGCTATGGAGGTAATACTTTATATACTTAAGGGAAATCAGGAAAGTTTCTACTGACTTACAGGCATTTTGTAGCCATTTAATAGATAATTATAAAAATAAAAAAAAAGATCATATTATGATCCACTTTGGAGCATTCTTTAAAAGTGTTCGAGTGAAAGAGACTCTCACAATGGCAATGTTTTTATTATCTAGTCAAAACAATCTGATTTGCAGTATCGAATAGGTTAACCCCATTCCCAACATTGTTTATTGTAATTGTGTGTTTGGCCATATCGAATACATCAATGTCAACCATTGGCACAGACGACACTTTACAGCTGTCAGCTCTGGCTGTGGCTCAGCCTGTGGCTCTGTTGCTGTTGTTGTGGTTTGTTGTATTTCTTTCCATATTTAATTCAGTTTCAGCTGAAAGAAATGTTGCAAATTGTATGCATATGTTGTCTTTCGCATGGTACGAGTCAAAGTTTCGTTTCACATCCGTTTGGCTTGGCATATTTGATTAGCAGCAACAATTCACTTTCTTCTACTACTGACTGCACTTCTTTTTTTCAGATTTGGCCAATGTTTGTTTTGCAGACAATGCAATGATATAGGCTTATGTGTGTGTGTGTGTTTGGGTTTGTGTATATGTAACGTTCCACTTGGCTGACAGTCCAGAGTCCGCCTGCGAGCGCAGGTTTTTCATCATCATCGTAGTTAGTCGCTGTCGTCATCCGTTTACTGTATCATAAACATTTATGCCAATTTTTTTCATTCGCTGCTTTTTCGCGTACTCGCGAAACCTGTTCCCTGTGATTTCTTGAGGTATGTATTTGCCTGGCACGACATTTGTTCCTGCGCTTCCAACGTGCCCCCAAATGATGCTGACGCTGACGCTGACACTGACTATGACGCTGCCTCTGGCTTCGTCCTCGCCCTCGCCCTCGCCCTTGTCAACGTTTCTGCCTCTGCCTGTGCCTCCACCTTCTCCTCTGACAATGTGACGCTGGCGTTCCATGTGGCGTTGACGTCGACAGCGCCGTCGACTCACTTCATGTCGTCACGCGATCTTCAATCCGTTCATTAATTCAGTCGGCATACGGTTAGTCGCTTGGGTAGGCGTAGAAGTAGCTGGAAGTGTTAATTAGTTGTTAGTGTCTCCCTTCGAGTATGCGCACACACACGTACACACATCCTCACAAGCACACACATACACACACTTAGCCAGGCGTTTACCTGGTAACTGGCAATTGTAGGCCTATATCATTTATGAGTATAGGTCTCGTACGGTACTTACGTCTAACGTAGAATTAGGCATGCTTTCTTAGTTAACGATAACAGCTAACAGGTGTTGCGTCACAGATATTCTAATTTGATTATCTGCTGATTGCTGGACTTAGCTGCGCTCTGTGCACATTTCCATAATTGTTTAAATTGAGCCAAACTCTTGGGTTTAGCAAACTGTCGTGGGTCGTGTGTCGAGTCTGGATATCGACATTGAAAAATTCCATTTGTTATTCTGTAACTGCGAAACGGCGGCTGTGGCTGCCGCTGCTGCTGCTGCCGTTGCCTGACAGCGAAGACAAGATAAAAATTAGTGGTAGGTGCATCCCAAGGCTTTCAAATAAATTCCTGCGTGCAATTTCGGCCCTGGCTGGCCCGACTGCCTGACTGCCTGACTGGCTGACTGCTTGCCAACTGCAGCATGGATGTGATCGTGAATGGGTATGAGAATGGGAATGGCTATGGGTATGGGAATGGGTATGTGAATGCGCAGAGCCAGAGTTGGAAATCAAAATCAGCCTTTGCCGAAAAGATGCGCAGGTGATGCGCTCAGCCCGAGGGCATATCAAGTCCGTCTGGATGCAAACTTCACTTGCTTCGCCTGCCTTCTGCATCTTTGTACTGTGTTGTGGGAGTGTAGCTGCAGCACACACACACACACCCCATATACAGAAATATTTATATTGTAAGGTATATACTTATGACATGGCGCATCGGGTAGTCGAGGGTGCCTAGTGCGTTGAGATGTCCCTTAGGTAGGCTTAGCCAATGCTGCTCTGTTGAAAGCGTCTGTTCAGAGTTCTTCTTGGTCACGACATTTCCAATATGGCTTGAAGCGTTTTTATAGTCGTTTGCAAAATGAAAAGAGTATATTGGTTTGGAATTTGAAATGTGTCCTCGTGCTTAGAGAATATATACTAGCATTAAGAACTCTTACATATACATATATATTATGAGTGGAAAGGAAAATTAAAAAACTTCCTAAATAATTGAAATCCTTCACAGATAAACCTATATATCCTTTGATCTACTTATTAACGCGTTTCAAATCGGAAATAAAAAATTCTTTCAGTTCTAATTGAGCTGTGAGCGAGTATTATGCAGTCAGTTGTGATCGACTGCAAGCGTCTCTACTTGCTTTTTTGCTGATTCCTCTGATAATCGCTGAGCGCTGCACATGACCATATTACGGAGATCACAGGCAGAGACCATATGTGAGAAGGTGTTGATTGATTAGTATAAACAATCTGCAATAATCTTGCTCCTCTTTAAGGAAGTGCATTTTGATTAATAGTGCTTGGTCAAACATGCCTCGCCACGCTATCATCGATCATGGAAATTAACTGGTTAGTTAGCTCAGCGGGTTAAGGTCAAATTCCTGCTCAGCATTCGGTATATTGACTCTTGGCGACTGTGAATTGTAAATTGTGAATTGTGTAATTCATAAAGCGATGCCTGCGAGCGGCGACCACTGCAATCGGTTTGACATGCATCTAATTGTTTGCAGCCTTTTACTGCTAACTGATTCAGTGCGAGCGTAAATGGCGATGGCAAGTTTTTGTTGAGTCTTGGTTCGCCTTAGCGAGGGCATGCTGCACGTGTTGGCATTCGAGTGCATCCGACTGGAGGCTGTTCTATCGACACATCGCATCACATCACATCGCATTGCCATCATCATATTACATAACATGGACACGAGCAGAAATTTAACGCAACTCAAATTTCAAGTTAGCCTCGCATCGAAGCGAAATGCGTCTCAGCTGTCAGCCTTGTTGGGCTA